TGATGTAAGTGAAGCAGCTGTAATCCAACCTCAACAAATGTTGTGGACATCAACACAAGATGAACGAGGGAAAAAAAGTCCTCTTTAGAAATGACAGTAACTTTTAAGCACATTACTGGACCATGTCAAGAAATTTATTCCTATAACCTACTTTAAAGTTGAAGTGACTGACTGCAATTTGTCCAACAAAGTCCCAAACTGAGACAATGAGTTCAACATGCAGAGTGGAATTAGAATGGTGGAACAAATAGCGTTTCTTTCCTTTATCCCGCACTGGCCTATCAAACAAACAGCAAAAAGACTCAAACGAATATAAAATCTGCTTTGTTCTTACCCGTTTGTATGGGTGACAGTTTGACAACTCCTCCAAAATAGATTTGTTTTTTTTGTTTTTTTTTTTGCAAATATCTGATCTAAGAATAAAACTCCAGTTCGGAAGCATCACACAAACGATCTCCATATCACAGCGTGGCTGTTTGTTTTTGTGCAGCGCTGCTATTTAAGCTGATGATCTGACAGTAGGAGTGCTTTTTAAATGGCCTATATGCAGGAGGATGAAGAACCATTTGAAATTAGATGAGCAGATTTTAGCTCTGGGCTTCAACATCACGGACTCACAACAGGAGGCTGGAGTCATAATGCTCAGCAGACATATTACCGGTGAAGCTGTTTTGGCTGACCATTTGCATGCTTCGTGGCATCATTTTTTAAAAGCGCGTTAAGATGCACGCAGATTCTAACTGTTTCTAATCTCCGTAAAGGGATTATTATTCAACAGAAACAAAAGAAAGATTCATGTTCATATTCCATGGCTGACCTGTTGAGAAACACTGCACTGGTAAACAATTTTCGATAGGAGTTTCTTGAACCGATATTGATATAAGAAATCGGTCCAATATCAAACAAAAAATTAGTATGGGATTATAACGGCCTCCATTCAAACCCAGCATTTCAATCCAGCAGCGCTTCTGTCCCTTTAGATAATAATAAATGTCTCTCATACCTATTGAGTAACATCACTTGATCAAGCCTTTTCTAACCTTCCACATTACACAAACAGCAATAATAATCTGTACAGACATTGTATCAGGTTAATATCGTATCAGCCAACACTCAAAGCTGTGGTATCGGAACTGAAAAAAGTATCGGAACTGAAAAAAGATGCATCGCTACACCCCTTGCTTTCGAGATCCACCGAAAATAAAATCAACATTAACTGTGTCATCATATTTTGATTAATAGGTTAAGAAAGTACTAAAAAGATTATATAGTTGTTATGACAAACAGATGAAAATGTGCATTTCTTACCCACCAAATTGAAATACCTCTATTTACTGTCCATGCACAACAGAAATTTTTGTCATGATGCAGTTTATAATACTAATAGTTGCTTAATAATTGAATACATATCACAAGTTACTGATAATAATCTATATATTTAAAACATTTAAGCAAATCCTTGCGACTTCCACTTCTTCACTTCTTTAGATAAGTTTGAGAAGTGACTCTTCTTGGGTAAAGTTACATTTTCTTATGACGTAAACTGATCACTTGCTTTCTCTGGCTGTTAAAGTACAGATCACTGGAGGCACTGTCCTCTATGTACTGCTGATAGTTCAGCTGACGGAGTACCACTGACGTTTTCCCCAGATTCAGCTGCTTAGAAGTACACAGACAGTCATGGTGGCACCACGCTGCTTCCTGCTAAAGGTGACATGTTTCTGTTTAGCAACACTTAAATAGTTAAAGTCATCGATTCTACAGAAAAGAGTCCTGACTACTTGAAAAATATTTCCAAATTACTTATTTATTGTGCAATTTTGTCTACGTGTTGAAATGAAAGTAGAATTAATAAATTAATAGTACGGCTCTGTGGTTCCTGTCTGGAGAGCTCGTTTGTGCAAAATATGTCCAAGATAAACACAAACAAGCTGACATAGTAACATTTTACAAATTTTTTTACTGAACAACTTGTCTTTTTTTTTTTTTTTTTACACAATATCATTAAAACGTTAAAATATAAAAGGAAAAAATTGTTCAATTCTTTAAAATTGAACAATTGCAAAGCAATAATATAGAATTCCTTTACCAAATCAGATCCGGTTGGATGCTAGAAAACAAACAAACAAAAAGCAAAAGCCAGTTGAGTAGATTTGGATAAGACATGTTTGCAGAGAACAGTGTTTTTGTTTTAAAGACAAAATGCTTATTTTGTTCATGTTTGCCTTAAATTCTGCTCTCAATATGTTCTGTGTTTGGTTTTTTTTCAGCAAATGGCCTTTTTTCCAGCTAACAATTAATGATTACTAAATTAGCTGATGATTGTTTCAATAAATCGGATTAATCCTTTCAACCCTACTTTTATATAGGAAGGTCACAACTGTGTTTCTGATGGCGACTGGAGTGAAGCAAAAAAAAAAAAAAATACAAATAAAAAAAAAAAAAGATGTGGCATTATGTTGAACTGCGGCTATGGTCTTTCACAGCATCACAGTGAAAATAATTGCCGCTGTGGAGCACAGCTCTTGGTCTCACTGCTGAGAAACACAACAGTTCATACCGGACCACTCGGCCAGCGACGCCGGCTCGCACATTGACTGAAAATACTCTGCGGGAAAGCAGCAATATGAAATCAAATCACAGTTTGTGGTTACAGCATCAGGGTCTGCAATCTCCAACAGCTGATCGGATGCAACATTTAGCGTCGTATCACGGCGCAGTCGCTTTCACGTTCAAATTCCACATTTAGCCGGATGGGTGGACTCTTCAACTCAAGCTTTAAGTGACTGGGATGCAAAAAGTGGGATGTGGACAATGGCATGCTGGGAAAAAGGAAGAGAGGGAGGAAAACGTGGCTAATCATGTTTATGTCGCAAAGTTGGCAACAAGCTACTCATAAATAACTAGAGAAATTGCTGGCTGATGCCAATTTCTGGCTTTCTGAAACGCTTACTCCGATTTTGACGGTTTGGACGCATTTCTAGTAACTGCCCCATATAAAATAGAGCAAAACTGAGGCACAGGTTCTGATACAGAACAAATCTTATCAATGTGAACCATTGCTCACAAAACGTTATGCTTAGCACACAACCACACCTTAGAAGAAACCTGACATAATGTAATAACACAAGTGGAGATGCAACAGCCAGGATTTTGTTTTTTATGTTGGAACCATTTATTGATTTAGTGTCTTTTTGTTCAACTAAAAAAAAAACCCCAAAAAACATCAAAGTTCATGCAGCGAATGTGTTGGTAAATAAAATATGATGGGGATTCTTTGTGTTCTTTTTATTTATTTATTTATTCCCATTTAAACTAATATGCTATTTACTTATCAGGGAATATTGAGATATCAAGCTGACTGATTGGTGCATCTCTGCATTGATTTGGTGTTTTCTTCTTTTTTTCTTTATCTGCAAGGCAATGGCTTACCCTGTGGCACGCATAAGTGAAGATTACTAATGTAATCCAGTGCAAAGATTAACATTAGAAAAGTGTCACATTTACGTAAACCAAATACATTTATATATATATTTATCTTTTAAGAACCAATTTTTCTTTTCGTAACCCTGTTGTGACGCCTGAATGTCGCCTGCACACTCAGCGGGATTCGTGTAGAGAAGGATAAAAACGTCAAAAATTAAAAATGGGGTCGACATTGTCTCTCACAGGTACCTATAAGAGACCGAAGTGACAAACCACTTATAGCCTTAAGGACGACACACCCTCTCAAAGGCCCCCCAGCAGCTCTCAACTCGACCCCGGCTTTATAAATGAAGCTGAAAGGAGAAAACGCCGACCTGCAGCCCTGCCCGAGCCGAGAGCCGGGAGCTCGGAGTCGGGAGCCGAGACTCGGCGAGGCCAGCGCTCGGAGAACCGCTTTCATTGCGACCAGCATTTCCTGTCGCTGTGGTTTCACTCTCCTCAGCTACAACACCGCAGGCACGACGGAGGAAGGCGGAGAGGGGGACATTATCGCGGTTAGCGGCCTTTACTTACCTGAACATAATTGTTTTCACAGTATTCTGCAACCCGGGACAGGTTCTGGTAGCTCTCCACCAGCGCTCTTTTACCGGCCGGGATTTCCTCCTCTAATAGCATTTGTAGCTCTGCCATCTTACATCCCTTTGCATTGCTCTCCTGCCCGTCTTTCTTTTTTTTTCCCTTCAGTGAGGCGAGGCTGTGATGCTCTGCTGTATTGCTGAGAAAGGGGCTCCCCCGTCTGGCATTGTGGCTCGGCGCTGGCCTCCGATTCACGACAGCGCGTGACAAATCGCAGCTACGTTGTAAACGGAGAGCGCTCATTGGTTCAAAAGCCGAGCGGGGAGGCGAGTGAACCAATCAGATTTCGCTGCGGCGGTTTTAGACGTAATGCAATATTTTAGTAGCTTTTGCATTTTATTAGTACAGAAAAGTGATTTTTTAATATGTTAATATAAATAGGTTACACATTTTTTGACTTTTTTATATTTAACTGTCATAGTAAAGAAAATACATATAATAATAAAACAAAGCCTGTAATAATTATTCAAATTTTAACAACAATAATAAACCACAAATGGAGGTGTAAATTTAATTTCTCTCACGCATATCACCCAATAAAGTCGAACTGAATTTACGAATTTAATACTAAATTAATTTTAAAAAATAGATCTCTTACTCTTGTCATCCATCAAATCAATCAAACTGAAACGCCCACAAAATTGAATATGCTATGAAATACAGAAGTCCAAAATTCTCCGCATTAAAAATTAAACTGCTAAATAAAATACAGTTTTAAAAACATGTAAAATCACATAAAATTGTTATGACAAACATCGAGTATGCGTTCACCAGCGTTTATTTTCAGATTTTGCTGAACAGCCAAAGCTTCTATAATAATATAATATAATATAATATAATATAATATAATATAATATAATATAATATAATATAATTCGAAGCAATCCTTATTTTCTACATTTGTAAGTAAAACATTTGTCCGAAATTTACATAAATAATTATGATAACGCTTAAAATAAATCCAGAGTGCTTATATGACATACATTTCCAAAGATGTGTCAGTCTGACATCTTAAAATCAACAAACTGGGTTTCAGCGTTTTGCTGCATAGACGAAACACATTTTAGGACTACATTTCCCATCACCACCCTGTGTTTTAAATCCCCCTCAAGTACATGAGGTTTGTGGGATTTGAACGCCGTCAGCGGTGGGAGGCGAACCTCTTCCCAGCGTGGCTCTTGCTGCTCTGAACTACATTTCCCACAACCCTGAGCGGCGCTCGAACGTCGACTGCTGGGCTTCATCCTTAACCCGAGAGGAGATTGGCTCCCTGCTTCATTACTGCAGGCAGACACCGGCTTTATCAAGCGATAAGGTGGGTTTCTTCAAACTCCGAGATGGGAGGTTGGGCAGATATATATATAAAAAAGCAACAGATAGCGTGGGTTACGCGGATTATATGGGCTAATAAAATAAAATGAATTGAGAGCATGCTAATCTTCCGTTTCTGTGTATAGGCTGCAGGGCAGGGGGACTGCACTCTTCATCGGACACTCTCTGAACCACCCTGATTTTTATTTTAATCCCTATTCTCGTCCAAGATCTGAGGCTCCTTTCATGTCATCCCTGTGTGGACTCGGCATGGCGCAGCAGGAGAAGAAGAAAGAGGAGCAGGAGGAAGAGGAGGAGGAGGAGGAGTACAGCCTGGAGGCGAAATTTACCGCGGCGGTTAAAGTGATCCGGAGTTTGCCGGATGAAGGTGATGAATCATCCCGATCTGTTCTGGGGGGGAAAGGCAATTATAAAATAAACCCAGAGTTGTCTAATTATGCGCAGTCGTCCATGTGACGTGCGCGCCTTGTGGGGTGTAAACAATCCAGGTGACTGACCTACATGCTCTCATAAAGCTGCTGCACAAGCATAAAGAGCCGTGATTAAGGGAGTCCGCCGTTTGTCTGGTGTAGAGGCTTAGATCATGGATTAGCACGCAATTCTTAAAAGGAATCTTTTGCTTATTCATTTATTTTAATGAGGTTTTAAATGTCGTCCACCCTGTCTTCATTTCTTAGGTCCTTTCCAGCCTTCAGATGACATGATGCTGATGTTTTATAGCTACTACAAGCAGGCTACCATGGGGCCCTGCCGCATCCCCAGACCCACTGGCTTCTGGGACACTGGAGGCAGAGCAAAATGGTATAAACTTTCACTTTTTTAAGCTGAATTTAACCTACGAATATGCAGAGATTAATTTATTAGAGCTTAACCCCACTTCTGTGCTTTGGAGATCATTTGCCTTGCCTTGTGACTGCTATTCTTTTTGTCAAAATGGCTGTAAAAACCTGTTGCCGTCAAAAATGTAAATATTGTGGTGTTAATATGTTGTTGTCGTCCCATTTTCAGGGATAATCTGCAATCAAATTTGGAGCAAGCAGTTGTTTTTGGTGGCAGATCAGTCTATGATTCTTAAATAACAGGTTCTGCATCACTGGTACAAGGATGTGGGCCTCCTTCTAGCCGGAGAGGCACCGGTTCTGGTCAGAAGCAATCAGTCAGAGCCATAGAGGCGGGTCTTAGCGCTGTCAATCACGCTTCTGTACATGTATGCAGATCATCTGTCTCATGCTATCATGTCACGGTGACAGTTTTAAAAAGTATGAGAAATATATGTAGATATATAGAAATGATGCTGCAGCTTTAAAGATAGCCAGACTAAGTCAAGTTTTCAGTTTGCCACAAGTTATGCACACCAGCGGTCCGTTGGGCCTGTTATCCTCCTTGTTTTACATGTTTCCCTGATCCATAGTAACATGCCTGCGAAAGCCTTCAACTTGTTTACTTTAACCTGGGATGTGACGACAGGAAAACGACTAAACTGTGCGGCTCAGTGAGTCCAACAGATCATGGAAGCATAAATGATACAGCAAACATCTGAAAAGCAGTGCTCATGATGGACGAGACCAGAGCTGAACGTTCTGGCCTTTCTGTCAACAAACTTGATGCTTTTCATCAGCAGGCACAGGAAAGTTTATGGTTAATGGAAATACTCAAGCACTTATTTAGGAAGAAACCATGCGAAAGGCTGAATGTTGGGACTTTGTCTTACCTTGTAGCAGAAAAAAACAACAGTTTTTTTTTTTTTTCAAACATAATTTTATCTCTACCCAAAGCTCACGGCTTTATTCATTTTCTGAAAACACTTTCAGAGAGACAGTTTCGCTCAAGTCATTTGGCATTCAGCTCTTTCTTCTGTATTGAACTTGGACTGTGTTGTCAGGGACGCATGGAGCTCTCTGGGAAACATGACAAAAGAGGAAGCCATGAAGAATTACATAGAGCACATCCAGCTGGTAAGCTGCTTTCCCACAAAACAGAAGCGTAGTCTACAGTAATGTGTTCGAGTTTTGCTCTGTGCGTCAACGTTTGTGCGTGAGCGTTAACACGTCCATGTTTACTGGCCAGAAAATGTAAAAAAACAAACAAAAAAAAGACGTTGGGCCTTTATGCTGCTGAGTCGGCGTCATATCCCCTGGAACTCCACTTTGTGTGTGTGTGCCTGCGTTGTTGTCAGATTTTGGAGACCATCCCGATCTCAGAGGAAGTTACAGAGCTGGTGCAGAGGCTCGGCAACTTCTACGCCGAGGTGGATGGAGAGGGAGAGGAGGAAGGAAACAAGGCGGTCAGGAGGCCCTTCACCAGGCCTTTTGCGGAGCACGCAGGTAAAGAAGATAGGTAACATCCACGTGTTCGTGCTGCTTCACACCTGAAAGCACATCAAATGTAATCAGAATGATACTCCCTGTGTTTTTGCCACGTGTCGTATCATTAGAGGAGCTGGTTAAATCGATTAAGAAGCCAACAATGGAAGGTAAGTCTTTGACGTTAGTCGCTTTAGACTCAGTAGAAGTAGGTTGTGTTGTGCATTAGCCTGGTCTAGTTAAAGAGAGGCCATTAGAACAAATGTGTGTTTTCATTGTTTATGTTGTATTTAATTGACATGTGTTCATGCCAGGATTCAGAATTGGTCAAAGCTTTTGTGTATTGATACTCCTATGGGGCTTTTCCACATGAATGACCTTTGTTTCAATTTAATTCAATTCAATTTCACTTTATTGCCAAAACTACCAGTAACATATAAGACATAGACATAACTGGAAACAATGAACTCAATTCAAAAATTCTTTATTGATCCCAAAGGGAATTTTAATTGGTGCAAATGGCAATACGTATAAAAATACGTGCAATACCGTAAATGTGACAATTCATGTAGTGTAAACATATGAATTGTGCAAATATATTACAATTTTGTTAAAAAGTGCTGAGTTATCGCTGTTACAGTAAACGTCTATCAATGATGTTTAAAAACCCCTGAGTCTGTCCGTATTGTTGGGGTTGTGTTTTTTTTTCACTATTTTACACCGCTGTCTGTTCAATGATAGTGTCAATATATTTGAAGATATGATTAACCTGTAATTTCTTTTCTTTTCTTCTGGAGGCTGTAAGAGGATTGCTTTGGCTCTGGTCACCTAATTGATGTTTTCAAGTAGCAACAGTTACTGCTAGCAGGCTACAATGATAGCTCTAAGCTGGGGGGTCAAAGGTTTTGACTTTGACACCTTCATTGTTTTTTCCACACAGTTTAAAACTATCAGATGTTTTAGACCTTCAAGATCAGACACGAAAAAAAAACTTGAAATGAAGTGTCCGACATCAATCATTGCCACAGTTGAAAAAGGTTTTTATCTTTAGGTTTAAGGGGTGCGAATGTTTGGCAAGGCACCGTAGATCCTGAAGTGCTGTTTGTCACTTTTCAGGCTACGGGGATCTGTGGGAGGACATACAAAATGTCCAGGCGAGCGACAGAGACAGCGGCGCCCTGAGACGTAGTGTGAGCAGCGAGGAGACAGTGGGAGGCAAAATGATAACAGAGGAAAGTGGGGAGAACTGGAACGACGACTTCCGCGCCGACATTGTGGGGACCGGAGGTACAACGAAAAATCAGAAATTCAAAAAAAACAAAACGAGACACTGTCAAGTGTTTCTGCTTTTCTTTTTGACCCCAGATTGGGACCAGGATCCACGCTTTTTAACCGTGGAGGACAGAAGGTGGCGGTCTGACACCAAGGGGTCCAACAGCAGCCTGGAGCCCAGCGTGTCGTCCTTCACCAACGGCACACACAGCTCCCTCAATAGCGAGGTGGAGGAGGAGGAGCTGGCCTGTTCCATGGAGCCCACCGGGCTCCATAACCCATACCTGCACTGCAATGGATACTTTAACGGTAGGATGCTGTGAGGATTTGGTCATTTTTGTGTGTTTATTTTGTTTTCTGTGTTCTGTAGAGTCTCTGTGTTGTCCAGTCTACCCCTTGATTAGTTACACATGTTCCTTGTTGCCCCTGTGTATTTAAACCCACCTGTGTTCCTTGTTCTTTGTCGGGTCCTTGTCTAGTCGTCTGGTCGCGTCAAGCCTGTCTATTAAGTTACCAGTTGCTACCAGTATTGAGCCATTAGCCTTCCGCTCACCTGTGCTGCCTGGTCTTGTGCACCTCTGACATATTCATTAAATTCATCATTCATTTTCTACAACCTGGATCCGCTTGCATCTGCAAAACGTGGCAGATCCCCCACATTATCACTGTGTCAAAATAGTCTCAGTAAGAACAATCAGATGTGAAAATTTAATCTTCTTTCACCAAAAGCAACAAAATGGAAAACTTCCAGTAACACTATATCACTATGTGGTTCTTAATATGAACTTGGTAAATGTTTTTTTTACATTTAACAATGTAAAAAACTGTTGAACTGAAAACAAAACAAAATGGAAAGCGATGAAAATAAAACGCAGCTTTTTTTGTTCTTCACTTTATTAGAGCTTCGTCTCTTGGCAGACACTATGAACTCAGACCTTTTCCGTTTTCGACTTGATTTTATGTTTTCAGTTGAATCTTTTCTACATAGTTCTGAAGTTAGTCAGTACGATGTAGCTTTCCATTGACCATCCAGTTGTGCAATTTGACATTTCAAAAATAAATGAGCTTTATGGAAACATGGCATACTTTGGGGGGGACAAAAATGTATTTTCAATAAAAATGTTTTGTCACTACAATCAAGGAATTTTCAGAAAAATGATTCAAAATATTTAGAAATTGGTTTGTTTCACAACACAATTTCACTTGGGAACACTTTTCTCGCGTTACATGAGTCACATAATCAACAACCGGATGTTGCAACCGATGCAAATGATGAAGAAGAAGAAGACGGGAAGTAGTTGGAGGATCGTGGCGTGGAATGATTTCTAATGATTTCTTATTCACTTGAAATTTATTTTTATTTTTTTAATTTCTGTGTCTTATTTAATGGAAACAACGCTACAATATTTTCTCATGTGTGCAAGTGAAGCAGTTTCACTGTCAGACTTTCAAATATTATTAGATGGATATGATTAGTCTCTTTGTTTTTTCTGGTAACACATTTATGTTTTTGGTATGCTTTGTTTTCTGGCCACTCAGACGACCATGGTGCAATTCCTGAGCAGAACCATCGACCCACAGACTCTGACAACGAGGAATTCTGTGACTCAATGGAGCATCTGGCCATGGAGGAGGTTCACCGTGTCTCTTCATCTCCCTGATGAAAATAAAATGCCAGAATTACAGACGCACCAATCAGACAAACAAACGCAGCTCTGAACTGGAAAGTTCCTAATTAGATTGAATGGCAGACTGCACTTTGGATTTTTAAATATAAAGTGAGAACGTCCCACACCTTTCAGCCTATAAACACATCAACCTACAGCAAGTACATCGCAGCACTTTGCAAAGTTATCGGATAAAAATCCGGTAACGGTTTGCGACACATTTTTTGATGCTCGAATTAACTTGTACATTTGCAAAAACACAAAGTCTTGCAAAATATTTTTGGTTTCTAGTCCAAATATTTTACATTTTAAATAAGACAAAACTAACTTACAAGTAAATTTTTGGCAAGATATGAGAGCTTGTTTTTTGTCAATGATTCCTTAATGTTGTTTCTAATATAAAGTTCTTGTTCCACTGTCAGATCATTTCCCTTGTAACAAGGAAAAAATGTTGCTGCATGACTGAAATATTCTGCCAGTGTAAGTTTTACTTTTTCAACAACATTAAGGAATTGTTGACTTCAGTAAGCTCCTATATTTTGCTGAAAAGTTATATGTAAGTTAGTTTAGTCTTTTCCAGTTTACTGAGATACGTGCACTAGACATTAGACCAAAAATACTTGTTTTTGCAGTGTCTCTGTTTATTTTCTATTGGATTCTAAAATACTACATTTAAAATAACAAGAAAAAAAAGCGGCATCTCATTTCTTTATTATATTGCTTTTTTTTTAAATTGCAATGTTTCAGTCTTTCAAAAAAAATCACAATTCATGATGTAGGTGCAGATGGTTTTCTTTAATAGTGTATGACTCTAATCGGCTGTGCCCGACTCTCGTTTGCGTGTGCAGCGGCTGCCTCCGTCCAAAGGCCGGTCCCCCGGGTCAGGAGCTACGTCGGTGAAGACGAGCGACGTTTGGTTTGAGAGCAGCACAACCCTGAAAGATGCCGAAGATGAAGGGCCGGCGGGAGATTTCTACATGAAAGAAAGAGCGGCTTCAAGAAAGCACAGCAGCTCCTTGTCGAAACGAGGACGAGGTGAACCTGCAGTAGTTTCCCTTGATAACGCTGCATCACTGAAGGGGCAAAATTATGTGTTTTCCAGGCATTTAATGCCATTTTGCAGCACAATCAAGTAACTGCGTTAACTTCAATTGTTAAAAATTCACCTCATATATCAAATATTACTTAAAAGAAATTTGACTTTGTAGTTTAATGCCTTGAATTTGTGCCTCTTTAAAAATCCCTGCGCTTTCTAAGACTGCCTCCAGGAAGTGTGATGACTAGCCTTTTAACAATGTTGATACCAGCGTTTCACTGAGAAGTGGCTCGTATAATGAGCTCAGCAGTTTTGCCAGGTGTTTGCTAATTTCTGCGGGCTAATCTGAAGGAGCCAAGTGATGGGGTTGCACAAGATATCTGCTCTGTAAGCTTGAAAACTGCAGCTCGGAGGAGCAGCTTCATCCCTGAAGGCGGGGCTCGGTCCAAACACACATTTTGCACAGCTGAATCGTTGCCTTGGGAGATTAAGGGATTTCTCAAATATGCATGAATCATGGCAACACTACATGTTGCACTGACTATAACACGATGTTCAGCTCAAAAAGAGTCAAATTTTAAATAATACCATGCCTTTAAAATGTTGATTTCCCCCACAAAGTTCTTGCCTCTCATTCTGTTGCAGGTTCGCCCAGAGCCACCTGCATCCCTCTGCGTTGTGTAAGCGCAGACGCTGCCTGTGGTTGTGCGTTGTGGAGCAGACATCCTGTCGTTGCTGCGAGGGGAAACACGAACGAGCAAATAGAAGCTGCTCTGCGGCAGCTGCAGCACAACATGGCCGACGTGCTGCACAGGCTGCACGCTCTAGAAGAGATCACCAGGTCACAGGTGATCAACCAGAACCGCCAGCTGCTTCATTTGCTTCAGTGGCATCCGGACTTGTTCTGTTTACGTCACATTTTTTGCTCACCTTGTTTACCGTCACAGGTCTGCGTGTCCTAAACGATGCCTTTATTTCCTTAATTTTAGTCAAGATCTCCGTCTCCAAGAGAGGAAGGCTTCTTACCTGTTCCACGAAAGGTTCTTGTCATTTCTGTTCTCTTTTCACTGTTCTCTCTTTTATGATCACAGTAGCAAAAAGTGGACATCAATAGAAAAAATATTTCTATTGGGTTTTCTGCATAAAATTATCATGAGATTCTTAAGTTTGGAGCTGACCAAATGAATCATTACCTTCCTAAAACAATGCCCTTAGTCATTTTTTGGCCAAAATTGATTTTGGAGTTTTGAAAAAAAAAAACTTGGCACAACTAGTCAATGGATTTAGGTACCAATTATTTTTCACATAGTAATTAATTTCTTATTTTTTCCCCAAATAAATCAAATCATTGCAATCCTCAGCCCCGGAAACTACAATGAAAAAACGACACGCGGGCATTCTGTTGCAGGTTAAAAATAGATATTTTGGATTCACTCGTGTAATTATCTTCTTATTTAAGAAGGCATGGACGACACATGCGACCTTTAAGTTTTCGATTAAAAAAAAGCAGAAGAAAACTTCAGATGCACATTTTTTTTCCCTCTTCACTTGATTTTATGAATGACGTTTGTATTTAATGCAACCATATGTTGGACTTAAAATCATTTGTAGCTCTAAGTATGCACAATCAGAATAAAGGAGGCATTTAGGTACCAGAAACTTATTCACGTATTTGGTTTTGGGATTTACATAATGTGTCTACATCTAATATCAGACCTAGCTTTAAAAAGCTTTGAACATATCAATGAGGATAATCTGTTAAAACCTCATCCAAATCGCTATACTTATTTAAAGTGTGCTGAGGTGTTTCCTCTTGAAACTAGACCAAAAATACCAAAGATTTTGCCGTCTAGCCACTTTGGTAAGGTTCAAGCAGTGACACATAAATTTGCACCATGGTAACTGTATGTCTGAAGCCCAGAAAGCTCTAATCATTTTACTCGTAATCATCTTATGAGCTCAAAAATGGTCTTTTCCCCTCGACAAATATCCAATCACTTCAATAGAAAAGTTTATTTTTGGAATAATAAATTATGAGTAACATTTTGCATTAAAGCGGCAGAATGCAGCTTTTTCAAAACACATTTTTTCCATAATTATTAAAACCGTCATTATATTGTGACAGTTTCGTATGAGACAGATAATCTGTGAAAAACCTCCTCTCAGCCCTCCTACTGTCGGTCAAAAACAGCCAATCAGAGCCCGGAGGATTGTATTAGCGCTGTCAATCAAGCTCGTGTACGCAGCTCAATGTGCAAATGGTGCAAAAACAACTTTCTATTACTAGTTATACTAACTAGCTTTAGCTTTAGTGGCAGGCTATGTTGTGGTGACTCAGCTGTAGCTTAGCAAAGAGCAGGCTGGAGGGCGTGAGCATGAGAGTGATTGACAGTGTAAAGACCCTCCTCCTTGCTGTGATCTGTTGTTTCTGAATGGTGTTCTAATGTAGTTAATGCTGGGAGCAGAATATTAATTCTAACAAGTACGTAGAAAAAAAAGTTTTCAAATAAAAGTTGCATGATGCATCTTTAACCAAAGATAAAGACTTTCATTCTCTCTAGATATTTACTTTCTTATCTAAGGATAATGGGATGGATAGGAAAATCCACAAGAACAACTTTAGAAGGAACAACTGCTCTCAGCTTTCTCATATTGTTGCAAAACGTGCTACAATCGCTACCAAAACGTTATGATCATCTGTTCATTTCAGTTTCAGTCGGTTGCCTGTGTGTGTTGTAGCTCCTGAGGCCATCTTGGTGGCCTTTCCACCTCTCTCCACTCACTGTGGTGTTGACGGCACTCTGGCCTCTTGTCACCCACTGGCTTGTCCAACTTTATTTCCAACGTAAAAGAAGGTGAGCAGGATTCATGCCGAATAATAATAATAATAAAAGCTAACTAGATTTTAATGTTTTATTTTGACTCAGTCTTCACTTTTCTGTTCACAGGAAAATACCGTGAGGGTTCTGACACTCGACAGGAACCAAAAATGCAATTTTGTTTCGCCGTGGCTTCACTTAAGCCAACGTTCCAGATGTGGAGTTATGAAACTTAAATCTGAAAGCTGCAGGAAATTGGTGGTTTCCCCTCAGCAAGGGGAGCCCTGTTAGGTGTTTGAGAAGGTTGAATTATAGCCTGAAGCGATAAAATAACTGAAATGAAATGGTAGTTTATGATAATACAGTGACTGTAGTTCACCGGTATTGGGGGTTTTCAAAATTCTCATTATTATTTGGTGGATCATGTTTGTGCAGTTTAGTTAATTTAAATGTCTTGGGAAGATATATTTATAAATAATAAATCAGTGTTTAATGTGTGTATTTTTATTTTTTACATTTAAGATTGGCTGAGGGTGTTTCTCTTAATATCTGATATACATTTCACGTAGCAAGAAGAAATTTGTCACTGCAGTGCACTAATAAATAATGATTCCTCCTTCTACATGAAGAGGTAGCTTTTGTTTTTGTAATTTAGAAAAAAAAATTGTGTGAGGGAAAAAAAAAAGAAAAATATGTGCTTTTAAAAATAAAAGAAAAACAAGAATAGCAACAAAGAAACTGCTACAGAAGTCTTGAACAAGTGTGGTTTCAGGTGTCTGTTTATGTCATAATTCTTCCTACATTTGCAATACATACTAAAGACAATCTATATTAGCCTTAGCTAATCATTCATCTAGTCATTTTTACAGTATAAATTAAGATAATGTACACTTTAGATGATCTTACAGCAATACTAGTTGTAATATGAGACTGTATAAAACTTAAAAAATAAAATAAAACATTTTTTGTACCTAAAACTGACTGTTTTTAGGCCAGTATTTAAAGTTTTGATTAGTCTGTGGTTGTTGAAACATTCCATGCACTAAGTATTGATTCCCTCAGGATATTTTATATACTGGCATGTTTGTGAGCATTGATGCTCGTGAATCTATAGAAGCTACTGTCGGCTCATTTAGCCTATGAACCATCCTGGTTGTATGTATGGGGTGAGAGAAATTTAATCCCCAAAAAGGCAAAAATAGGGACTGTGTGTTCAATTATCTATTTTTGTTTGGGTTAGAAAAATCAGGGTGTTAAGTGAAACCCAGCTAGGTAAGAAACACACACACACACAAAACAAATGTGAAGTTAAAAAAAATATACTGTATTTATCCTCAAGGAAATAAAATGTTGTAGATCTTAATCTTATTTGGTCTCTGGTCTTGCTCTGTAGCTGATCGGTTTGAGCCAAAATATTGTCGAAAACGTTAATAACATTGCCTCTTGATATTTTATTGTACTTTTTAAATGTGGTTTCTCAACTCTACCTCACAAAAGATTTTGTTCTTTAAAAATTATAGATTTATTGCACTCTATTTAGGGGGAAAATTAAAACACATTTATTTTGTTTTTTTCCCCACTGTTTTTATTATGTTAATATGTTAAGTGTTTTGTAGACACATTTCTTCCAAATTGTGTCCTAACAAAATAATTCAAAATAACAAAATAACCACAAAAAACGTGTAAAGGTCAGAAGCTTGCTCATATTTTTAAAAAATTAAATAATAAAAATTATTATTGGTATCAGCGACACTGGCCCAATACTTATTTGATAGTATATCGATATTCAGTTCTATATTCTGTAGTTTCTGACGTTTGGCATCATAGTTCAGGTTTTATGTAAAAAAAAAAAAAAAACTTAACGCACTATACCTTGTTTCCAAGGTGATTACACATCGTAACAATTGTTTGAAAATAAACAAATAAGACAATCAAAGAAGGAACACGTCAACAACGAAAACACGTTTATTCAGGTAAAACCAAACGTCACTTTAAATTCACTCCAAGAATGCATCCGAGTTGATTCTCCGCTATTTTCAACTTTTCTAACCAACGGAACTAATCGAAACAAAACAATTTTCGACAGGGATCCCCCGGGTTTTGTTGTTGCCACAACACCGTTGACGTCATATCCGGTGTCTCTCCCTGCCCCAGTCGGTGTCAATGCTGCTCTGCCGAAGTTCGCAGTTGAACTTGCTATGCCTGCTGCGGAGAAGCTGAGGGGAGCATACCGACGCCGTTAACTCTCGGGGACAGCGACATAAAGTGACTCGGACTGCTGGGGCTCGTATTAGCGGATGATGTTTTCCTTATCGATGTCTGTTCAGCCACAGGTAAGAGACAAGTAGGTCGAGCTAGCTTTAGCATTGTTGTTGTTTTTGTTTCTGACCTGGCCGGCTGGGCTGCGCCTGCTGGGTCGGACCCTGCTGTTTATTTGACCATATTAGTTCGTGTGGACATTTATATGTTTTCCTGTTCCGCTTTGGTACACATTTAAACTATTCCAGCCTTGCTTCACCACATACAATGATAGTAACACGCGGGACACTTCGTGTGGTTCAGATATCGCCTTAGCATAACTCTGGGACATCAGATTGGGTTGTGATCGTCGCTGTTTGAATCATCGCAGGTGACTCTACCTCTCAGTCACCTCATCAACATCCTTCACCCCCTGAAGAGCTCAGTGGGAAGCAGCAGCAGCGCCACCTGCACGTCGAGAAAGCAAAAGGAGCGTGCCCCGGATGCAGACCTGCACCGTACAGAGGTACAAGGCAACAACTCTGGGCGACGGTAAACTGTTCAAATGTCATCTGACGTCAGACGCAAGTTGGATTCAGTCACAGTAAACAATCTGTGCTTCTGGATTATGCTTTTGTTTGTTTCTGATCGTCTGGCTGGAGTTCTTCATTAACTTCTCGTGAGATGTGCTTGATTTGTTTTTTCTCTAGCCTCGAATCTGGATGCATATATATAAATATAAAGTTGCGCAATATATTCACTCACAGAATTGTTTGGATTCAATTTCAGCTATTTCAAGTCATAATCATTCATACTTTGGGTGCCTGTAATGTGTATTCAGCTCATCAGATTCCCTTGATTTTGGCACCAGGCGTGTTGGATGACCAAGATGCCAAGACGAAACGAATGGAATGAATTATAACCAAGCCTGTTGCAATAAGAAATAAATCAATTAATTGCGTGATAAATTGAAGCAATAATTTCTATTTGTATAATATTTGATTTTGTGCGTGTCTATCTAATTTTCTACCAGATAGCGGGTGACAAGCCTCTTCAGCCTTGCATGTTATTTAGAGATGTCAGTATCCATTTTGTTTGTTATTTTGTTTATTTATGTTGGAGATTTAAAATGTCTTCCGCTTCTGGTGTTAAATGTCTGTTAGAAATGAAAGTTTATGGCTGTTTAAGAGAGCAGACTTTCATTTTTATGCCATTATCGTCTCAAACCAACGATATTGTCATTTATCGCAATAACTTTTGGGACAATTTATCGGCAGGAAAAAAATTATCAGGGCAGGCTGATGATGTGAAAAGAAAAACATAATTATTTTCTCAAATGTAACAGTAATTTTGTAACCTGTTTCTAATATCAAGACCTAATTTTTATTGGAAAACAAGTACAAAGTGTTGTTTCTTCTTTTACTTGTTTTAACATGTGTGTACTGTGGTCTACACAAATATAGAACTACTGCACATTTTGTTGGGTTTTTCTAGTAACAGTAGGAGAGTGCTGTTGTCCATCAAAAGCTGTGACCCGTTAAGTTTCATTAATCTAAACATGGGAAAATATTCAGGGTAGAGAAAAATCTGTCAAACTCTAGTAACCATTCTGAAATGGTAATTTAAAAATTATTTTAAATTTTTTGGACTTCTCCTTTAGATCAGATTGCGTTATGGAGCTCTGTGCTCCTTGTTTTAACACAAACCAATTGTCCTTGAACCTTTCCATGAATTTCATGTCGTCTGCATGCATGTTTTTTAGTATGCGCTGTCCGCCGGGAACCTCCGGGAGCTCGGTTTGTCCGACCTTGGAAAGCAGCAGCTGGACGAGCTGGTGAGCCAGGTGTTGCCACGCTTGAGCCCGCAGGAGGCGCCCCCTCCGACCTGGGGACCGTCGGCATGGAGGACCTCGCACCTCTCCTCGCACTCCTTTTTCCTCAATAAGCACGGTGAAAATGAAATGTTTCATTTAGAAAAAATGTTTAATTTTCAGCGGTTGTCTTGGCAGCCTGCTGGTGTTTTCATCTTGTTGTCACAATTAACTGACAGCTGCTGTTGTCTCTTTCACTCAGGCTTTTCGTTGGGCGCCTTGCCCCTGATGCCTCCTGTTTACTTAAACAAGCGCCCGTCTCCCCTTCAGATGGTCTGCACAGAGCTGAAACACTGTCCAGGTAATTGCTGACTAGTTGCATTACGATTGCTGATCGGCGATTGCCGATCAGCAATCGGCGATCAACTGTGATCGCCGAGAGACTAATAAGTCGGATTAGTTGCAAAGTTCTGCGATGTGTTCCTATGCGGCGTGAGAAATTCACCCAGTTTGTTCACGACTCTGTCGGTTTTTCAAGCGTTGTTTCAGAGCAGAGGCTTCAAAACTCTGAGGACCAAAACCAGGCGAGTGCAGTCGGCCTTCGAACGGCCTGCCGACTCCGAGACTTTCGCACCGTCTTTTATCAAGGTGGGTTCTGAAGGATACTCGCCCATCAAGCAGGGTTGGGCGATGAATCGATTTGATCGATGAATCAACGGTTTGGTTTTTGAAAAAGTTCCACATAGTTTGTTCAAAATGGTTCAGATTTTTTGAAAAAATTATTTTTTTATTATTTTTTTTATTCACCAATTCTCTCATTCTGTTGCTTAGCACAAAGTTGTTTCACAAGCAGGTTTTCCAGCTTCTATTTATTTGAATTCAGATCAAAAGGAATGTAAGGGCCAGACTGAGAATAAGTCATAATCTTACAATAAAGAAGTCATGACAGTGAAATTTAAATAGTACTATGATAAAGTTGAAATATTAAGAAAACAAAGTAGTAATTTGTAACACTGGTACCAGTTGCAAAGGTAGTTGTGAGAATTTCAACAAAAAAATGTTAATTTAATTATCCAAGCTTTGTCCAAAATTTTCCTGAAATTTAAAGATGTTTTTCTGGTAAAATTGCATATTTTTTCTGCTAATATTATGAATATTTTCTCCTAATTAAACAAAAAATTGTCTTAGTTTTCCTCAGTGTTTTTTTTTTCTCTGCAGGGTTTCCTGATGCGCGGGAAGGGGCTGGAGGCTGACAGCCTGGACGGTCTGGTGAGGAACAAGAACATACCTGATGGACAGCAGGAGGCGTTCAAGAGGGGCTTCGCCGAGGGTTTCCTCAGAGCTCAGGCGCTGACGCAGCGCACCCAAGGCAGGTCGCACACCTGATCCAACCGAGAGAAGAACTGACACCAGAACTAAAATGTTTCTGTTGTGACTGTTCAGACTCTCTGAGGAGAACTCGTCTGTTCCTGCTGGTCCTGCTTCTGGTCGGGCTCTACGGCATCTCCAAGACTCCGTTCATATCCGGTAAATGCCCACCTCTCTTCTTTCTTTTTTTTTCTTTTGTCCCCAATTACGCAAAATTACTTTCACATTTTTGATTTGTATCTTAGCTGCTTGATCGGCTTAAATCGGGTGCAAACGTTTGCCACGGAGCTCAGCTTTCAGCTCCATGCACAACTGAGCCGCTCGCTGCTCTGACTAGATAACGTTCCTGTGCTGTATTGAACTTGGACAGTGCGCTTCCGAACAACAACAGGCCTGGACTCAGCCGTGGACCCGGTGCAGATGAAAAACGTGACGTTCGAGCACGTGAAGGGCGTCGAAGAAGCCAAAAACGAGCTGCAGGAGGTGGTGGAGTTCCTGAAGAACCCGCAGAAGTTCACGGCCCTTGGAGGAAAGCTGCCAAAGGGTGAGACGTCATGGGTGGAAAACAGTCCCTGTAGTTATTGCGATAAACAATAATGCTTTTTTGAGACCGTTTTCAAGTGAAATGCTTTAGGGCTGAAACGATTGATCACGATTAATCGATTGTATTTGAAATACATTAAAACTTGCAAATAATTCAGTTACTTTTGTGAATGAGGATATAATTTCTCCCCAACATGCAATTTCGAATAAAACAATTATTCGATTACTAAATTGGTTGATGATCATTTCAACGGTGTAAAAGAAAAACAAGTAACTTAAGTAGTTACGTGAAAAATCTGTAAAGTGTACGAATTTTTATCCGATTAACAGCCAAAATAATCAATTACTAAAGTAATCATTTATTGCAGCCCTAATATATTGATGGTAGCGTAATAATGCAAGTTTGCCCCCTGAAATCTTCAAGTCACAGTGTGAGGTTTTCTTTGCAAAAATTAACATTCAAAATAAGAAACAAAACAACCAGTAACAATAATCAAAATGAAAATAAAAGCCAAAGACGATCGAATATGATTAGATTACTCTGACTCATAAAACTATGATTTCGCTGTAAACAATGCTTCCCTTCAAAAAGTATTAATCATTAGAATGGAAACTATGGAGCTCATTTCAATTTATTAGTAACAGGTGTAGTTGTGGCATCTTTTTTGTTGTTGTTGTTTTACTTTAACTTTTTCTTCCCCCTCTGTTTTTATTTTAGGCGTTCTGCTCATTGGTCCTCCAGGGACAGGAAAGACTCTGCTGGCCCGAGCCGTGGCCGGAGAGGCCGACGTGCCGTTTTACTACGCCTCTGGTTCAGAGTTTGACGAGATGTTTGTTGGCGTTGGAGCGAGTCGCATCAGGAACCTTTTCAGTGGGTAGTTTTTCTTTCTTTGGGAGCCTAAGGAAGTTTACTCATTCTCATCCTGGACATGGGTATCATATCACTTCTTCTTTTGAGGCTGGAATATTTAAACGGTTAAATGGTTTTTCCTCCATTAGAACATTTACCAGCACGTGCACTAGATTGATTGACAGCGCTAAGACCCTTCCCTGGGTCTGATTGGTTGTTTTTGGTGTATTTCTTCGGATGGCAACAGCAACACAAGAAGGAAGTGGAGGAAATCTGTCTTTTCACAGGTTATCTGAGTTATACTGTCACAACATGGTGTCAGTTTTAACAAATATTTACAAACTTTTTTTTTTTAAATAAAAGTTACATACTAAAGCTTTAATTTCTGAAAAGGAAATTAATTTTTTTAATTTGAATTAAAAATTTAAATGTCCATAAGCTATTTAACCCCATATTACAAGTAGTGTACGCAAATGTATAAAGTCAATTGTTTCTTTCTTTTTTTTTCTTGAGCCCTTGTGGATTTCAGGAAATACATTTTAGATTCAAAATTATGCAGAAAAGTCTCATTTAGAAAAATCGTTGCAGTTGTGTTTTGTTTCATCATATCTCTATGAATCACACTCATGGTGATTGTAAATCACTTGAACTTCGTTTACTTCAATGGGTGACACACACACGCACACACACACACACACACACACACACACACACACACACACACACACACACACACACACACACATATATATATATATATATATATATATTATATATATATATATATATATATATATATAAAGCTGAGGCATTCATTTAGATGTAGCTGCTGTTTTCTCAGGGGAGGCTAAAGCTAACGCGCCGTGTGTGATCTTCATCGACGAACTGGACAGCGTGGGAGGAAAAAGGATCGAGTCTCCTATGCACCCTTACTCCAGACAGACTATCAACCAGCTGCTTGCCGAGATGGACGGGTAATCTCGGAAACGGTCGGCTACATATTTTTAATTTGGCTCATTTTTATTTTAAATAATCTCCCATCTTCCAAGCTAAGCATTTGTTTATCAGAAAATGACCCCAGAGACATTGACCAGCTCTTATTGTAGGTTTAAACCTAATGAGGGGGTGATCATCATTGGAGCAACTAACTTCCCAGAGGCTCTGGATAAGTACGTTTTATGTCGCTGGGTAACGTACTCCCCGCCGTTCAGGTTCTGCACAGCTGTGCGTTTACTCTGTTTCTGTGTTTGTGTTCGAAGCGCGCTGATCCGCCCAGGGCGCTTTGACATGCAGGTGACCGTACCCAAACCAGACGTGAAGGGACGGACGGAGATTCTCAACTGGTACCTGAAGAAGATCAAAGTCGATCCAGGTGAGCTGTTGGTGTCTGCAGGCATTGCTTCATTCGAATCAAATTATTTCACTCTCCTGTTGTTTCATGGTCACATTGAGATGAGGGGGCAGAGTTTTCTCTGTGGGGGCTCGTCCGGTTAGAGTGCAGCACATCTGCATGAGGGGCAACGAGACCGGGAATCAAACAGAAACTACCAGCAAAGTATCAGTGAAGAAGAGAAGAAATGCAGACTTTTTGTGAATTGTTTCAAATTTTTCTGCATTTATTGAACTGATTTGAATCAAAATGCCTGGTGACAAAAGCGTCTCAGGCTTATTGAGAAAGGTTGCTTAAGTAAAACATTCAAAATGTAAGCTGGTCAGCGCTGATGGGAAAATGAATTAAGATGATTCTGGACCTAGAGTCAGAACTAAAACTGATTAGTTGAGATTATTTAGAATGCTCAATACAAAGTCTGGATTTAAATCCAGACATTGACGCTCATACTTGTTCTCAACTTGTCTAACCGGTGAAAAAAACTAACGTTTGTAAATGTGCAAAGCGGAGAACAGATGCCTCAAACTCTCATAGGTGTAATTGTGAAAGGCTTTTCTGAAAAACATTCACTCAGGAGGCTTGAACACTTTCATAAAGCATTTTAAGTCCACTTTCTGTGCACCTGATTATTTCGTTATACAGTAAAATAGTAAGATAAAGCATTGAAACAAAGCTGCGACTACCACAGCCAAGCAATTCTCCGACTGTATGCCTGTTCTCTGTTCTGTCCGCAGCCATTGAGGCCAACATCATCGCCCGGGGAACAGTCGGATTCTCTGGTGCCGATCTGGAAAATCTGGTGAACCAGGCCGCCTTGAAGGCAGCAGTCGATGGCAAAGACATGGTCACCATGAAGGAGCTGGAGTTCGCGAAAGACAAAATCCTCATGGGTGTGTAACACCACGCCGGCGTAGTTGCAGACCGTAGTTCATTTCCTTCAGTTACGTCACTCCTCAGAGTGAGCGCAGACTAGCCACCTTCCCAGACACACAGGCAAAAATATTAACGTTCCATGATATTTCAATTCATTTCAAAGTCTAATTGTGGTTAGTAAGTGTGCATGCATTTATCTATCTGTCTGCTTGCCTGTCACTAACTAACTAATGTGAAAAAACAAAAAAAGCCTCATTTTGAATGTGTGGCGGCGTTTATTTTGCTATGTAAGAGGGTCAATTACGGGTAGAGGAGACCCTGAACGTCCTCCTTTTTTTTTTTTTTTTTTTTTTTCTTCAAGGCCCTGAGAGAAGGAGTGCAGAAGTAGACCAGAAGAACAAGCTCATCACGGCGTACCATGAGTCTGGTCACGCCATCGTAGCGTACTACACCAAAGACGCCATGCCGATTAACAAGGCCACCATCATGCCCAGAGGCCCGAGCCTGGGACACGTAGGAGAATCCAGATCTAGTTTTTTTTTTTTTGTTGAACGTAGATGTTTTTTTGTTTATTTTTAGCGTGATGTAAACGTTTGAGAGCCTCTCTGTCCTCCAGGTTTCCATGCTTCCGGAGAACGACAGGTGGAGCGAGACCCGCACTCAGCTTCTGGCTCAGATGGACGTCAGTATGGGCGGCCGTGTGGCAGAGGAGATTATTTTTGGCCACGAAAACATCACAACAGGTAGGAAACGGCGCCTTTCATGGGTGATTGGGAGAAGGAAGTGTAGAACATTGTTTTCTAGGACTGGGTAACAGACTGATTTTATAAATTAATGCATTTTTTTTTTTTTTTTTTGATTTTTGGTAAATCTGGATTATTTTTCTTCCATCAATGAACTCTTTGGGTTTCCATACTTCAGAATGCTGTCGGCTCCCCCAGGGCGGCCATCTTGTTTGACTCGTGTGTTTTACAGTTTCTATTTATTTGGACTTTGAATTCAAGTCAACTCTCTGAGTCGATTAGGAGAGTGATGTCATAATTATACAAAAGCACAATCGTAATATTTTGAGAATGGCTTGGTATTGTTACGAGAGCTTCAACATGAAAAATAAATATAAATCATCCGAGCTATTTTCTCATTAAAGCAGCTTTCTTGTAATTTTAAGACGTAATTCTCGTAAGATCATATCTTCATAACTTCCCGTCCAACTCGAACTAAAATGTACTTTTTGAAAATGTTTTCTGTTATATTTTAGAAAAGAAAGCAAAGGGGGAAATAAATTGATTAAAGAGATAAAATTTTTATGTCATATCGCCCTAATGTTTAGTGTAGCTATGTTTCCCTCTAATTGTCTTATAAATTTTGAGCAAATTTTTAAAATGTCATAATTATTTTATTATTTTTTTTCAAAGAAAAAACAAATTAAACTTGGGTGTTTTCTTCTGCTGGTTTGGAGCAAATCAACCAGGCTACACAGAGCGTAATTTCAACAAATGTTGACATTTCGCATGGCTTTGTGCCTTACCAAAGGCATGGAGATCAAAAATTTGTTGATCTCAGGACCTGTCGGGCAAATGTGTTCCCATCTCCCCTTTCCCGCATTAACTCAAGTCGGCGTCAAAACCTTTTTGCAAAATTGAGGAAGTCGCGTTGAACTTTACAGTGTCCAACAACCTTTTCTAACCTCAAAAGACATCGACGCAAACAAGGTGTTGTCGTTTCTCCTTTTTAAGGCGCGTCGAGCGACTTCGATAGCGCCACCAGGATTGCTAAGATGATGGTGACCAGATACGGGATGTGTGAGAAGGTAGGCCGAAAACTTTCAACTGACGGCAGAAAAACGTCGCGCTTCATTTATTTGTATTTACTGACTCCGCTCCCCCGTCTCTCAGTTAGGCGTGATGACGTACTCCGACCTGACAACCCAAAGTCCGGAGACACAAGCCGCTGTGGAGCAGGAAGTCAGGGTTCTGCTGAAGGTCTACCTCAATCGTATCGACACAAATGGGCCTCCTGTGCTCCTGTGAGCCTTGTGTAACACCTGTTTTGTTTTGTTTTGTTGTTGTTATTGTTTTCAGGACTCCTACGAGCGTGCCAAATCTCTGCTGAGGTCTCACGCCAAGGAGCACAAGAACCTGGCCGACGCTCTGCTCATGTATGAGACGCTGGACGCCAAAGAGATTCAGCTGGTCCTGGAGGGCAAAACGCTGGACAGCAGATAAAACCAGCAGGGACACAGCCGGGGAACGATCGGGGGAGTGGGATGCATACATTTTCAAAGAGAATTAAATCAGAGGCATCCGTCCATAGTGTCTCCTTTTAAAAAAAAAAGTGCTCCACTTTATAGCCTCATGACTTCGTGGAACCTCCCAAACAGTTCACGCTGATTCTTGGAGCAAAGACTCATCGTCGTCGGCATGGTGCAGGTCTTTTTTTCTTTTCTTTTTGAACCTCGTGGTACCGACGTGTGGAACGCCTTTACATAAATAAATCTTTTACGGCAGGGTCATAATCTCACATTGAAATTTGCAGGGGACAAAATATCAACTTTAATTTATTTGTATTTATTCTGTGGGAGGAAAATAATCCACATTAAATTTTAACTCAATCATCAATGACATATTGGAGAGAAATCTTGGAACAGATTATCTAGATCCTGGAGTGTCGGTGAGCCTTTTACAGCCCTATGAATTATTATTTGTATTATTATTATTAAAGTTATCTATATTTTTCTTGCTTGAGCAAGGACAGGCAGTTGATGTGTTTGTGGTTTAGATGTTTATTTGTATTATTTTAAGGGTGACATTTTTGCTGATGAACGAGTTCTCAAAAATAGATGCAGATTATTGTCTACTAACCGCATTTACTTTTATTATTATTATTGTTCCACAGTGAATTAGATAAACATCAAGTCATGTAAATAGGGTAGAAACCAACCAGCACAAAAAGATGACAGAAATTATGAGTCGTTCTTACAAAATTCAGACTTTGTCTTGTTTAAAATTTGTATCTTTTTCGATGGATGCTGATTTTGTTTGGGGAATTTTCCTTTTCTCGCTAAAATAAATAGAACTCAAACTGAAGGCAGGATTTTGTATGATTATTATTTTCAGCACGGGATTATGCTGCCACTGTAAAAGAGGAATCAAATTTAATCGTTTTTCCACGTCCGTCCTCACCTGTAATGATTCTTGAATGTATGGAGGAACTTTTAAACGTTCATCCACTTTAAAAGTGGACGACCCGCTCACTTTTGCTGGAAGACGTCGCGTACGGGGAGGTTCTTCACGCCAAGATTTTACTAAGATGGTAAAAATGATGAGGTAATAACACAAAAACACTTCAGCCACCATGTTTTCCGTCTTAGTGTTTGACGAGGCGCTCCTTCGTCGTGAAGGCGGCGTTTTGGGTGAATGCGCAACGAGCCATTTTTGCACTTCGGTGCATTACTGTCGACGCACTTTATTTTCTCATCGTAAAGTCGAAACTATCCTTATTTATTTCGTTTGGCCTTTGGAAAGCCTCCGAGCGAAACACTAGTCCGCTTGTAATTACAGACGTGTGAAGCGAAGACGAACCAAGAGGCCCGTTTTGCGTCTCTCTTCTTGTTCTTCGCTGCGGACAAATCTCCTGCCCACATTGGCTTCTGCAGATATGTGTTTCATTTTTCTCTTTGGAAGCTGAGGCTTCGTCAGTACGGAGGAGTGACTCGGGCTGGCTCAAACTGAACCTGGAAGCAACATCCTAGACTCTGGAAATGTTTGGACATTTTTATTGTATTGTGGTTCATATCTGAGGCAACTGAGAGCATACGCCAAGTTTAGAGCAGTCCATTATTTAAATCTATACCATAATCAACAGAGTTAGCAATATTTTCTTGACGTTGGCTTTGGTTTCACACGTTCTGTTTCTTGGTCTCTTAGCTTTGCTTGGCATGTATATACGACTCGGTGGTGGGAAACCTGTATATAAATGTATAGGAATGCTTTTATGCTCTGTACTCTCTGAAAGACTCCCCACTGCAGTAGTGTGATGAAGACTGATCATGTGCTGCAGAAATAAACAAACTCCAAATAAAAGCTTTAAAAAAAAAAGTACAAAAAAAAGCGAGAAGTGGCCGATTTCTTGTAAAACTGTAGCATTTTTTTTTCTGTTCAGTGAAATAATCCTTATGTTTGCTGTTTCAGGAGCAGAACAAAAATGATGAAAGCACCACATCCGCCACAGTCAACTTCAGAATACTAAACGATAATCAAATCGATCTGAGCATATTTGACAGAAATGACCAAAAAACAAAAAAAGTGAACACTCAATGAAACCAAAACTAAAGTTTCACTTTGACCTCATTTGGTCCAGAGATTATTTTTCCAGTGAAGTTTAAACATGAAATGCCTTTGGCAGCATTTTTTTTTTTTGACATCTTTTGGTCAATGGAGGTTTTGACTTTGCATCCCCATCAATTCATGTATTTTCTGAATGTCACTGTTCTCAAATAAACATTTAATTTGCAAACTCAATGTTCAGTTAGTGAGCTAAACATCGAGTCGACAAACCAAACAGTATTTAGTGTGGAAGAGAATAAACCTGATCATTACTGTCAGGTTCAGACTCTGTATCTTTATAAACGGCTTAGCTCCGGACTGTTTGATCCGCGAGCATTTTGGGCCTGTTGAGTTTCATGACTGATTTTGACCCCTGACCCCAACCAGAATAATTATAACGGAACAAAAAATTTTTATTGGATTCATGAAACAGCAAAAAAAGTGAAATCGTTTTACATATTATTTTTGCGGATACGAAGAGGCTGTCGGTATTAAAGAAGTGAATTATTTTTATTTTTTAATTTTTTTTGCTGAGTCCTCGTGAACTTCGGTGACGTCACGCGCGTCGCAGCAGATTAGGCGGAAGTCGCGCGGCCAGCTGTCATCGTCGCCGAGAGCCGCCAGCATCTCGTCGCTCCAAGCGTCTGACCCTGGACGCCCGCTGACGGCCAACATGGACGAGGACGTGCTGACCACCCTGAAGCTGCTGATAATCGGAGAGAGCGGGGTGGGGAAGTCCAGGTTTGTGCATGCTAGCCGCTGCTAGCCGCTTGTTGACGTTGACGTTACGTAAGTTTGTTATTCTCCGCTCAGCAGCTGCCGCTTCGTGCTAACGTCGCTTTTTGAAGTTTGCTACTTGTTTAACACAAGGCGAAAGTTGCTCAACAAAATAAAAGTAGTACTTGTTGGCTTTGATAGGTGTGAAAGTCTAGTTTTCGCTCTGAAGGGAAGACGCTGCTCGTTCGGTATCAGAAATGTGTTGTTGTTGTTCCTGGCAGAAAGCTAGCTCAATGAGTTTTCCCCACAGTGTCCTGCTGAACATCCTGTTCATGTCCTGTGTGTCCTCGTTTCCCCCCGCAGCCTCCTGCTCAGGTTCACAGAAGACACTTTTGACCCAGAGCAGTCGGCCACAATAGGTTCCACAGTCACAAACACACTCACATCTGCCGATGCAGAATACAGAAACTGTTTCGTGTCGGCGGTATTTCAGTTGAATCCACTTTCTCGTTTGTTTGTCGTGTTTCTTAAGGTGTGGACTTCAAAGTCAAGACCCTTGCGATTGAAGGGAACAAAGCGAAGCTCGCCATTTGGGTGAGTCTTCTTCACGACCTCCATCCTCACCCACATTCACAAACATGGTGAAGTTGGACGTTTCCTCCACACGATGGCGACATTGCGCAGCAGTAAATACTGTTGAGCTGCAGCTCTGAGGTCACAGTAAGAGTTGAAGCGCCTTTTAGCAATGAATTTTAGAAGCTAAAGCTTATTCACAAGGTGAAATGTTTGCTGAGATCCCCGTCCTTCCCCCACGACAGGTCAAGATGTCCCAAGGACCACAAAGGCATCCCTTTGTGGACTTATAAAGATTATTAAAGCAATGATCAGTTCATTAAAGGGTCATTTCTGAGTCGTCCGGCAGTAAATGGGGACATTATCTTTGAGATGCATTGTGCTAAGTGGTGGAAAATGTCACTTTAAAGTCCGGTGTGTTTTCTTCTTCAGGACACGGCTGGACAGGAGAGGTTTCGCACGCTGACGCCCAGCTACTACCGCGGCGCGCAGGGAGTCATACTCGGTAAACAGCCGATACTTTTCAAGTCAAACTGCCTTCTCGCTGTCTTTTTTTTTTCTTTTTCCATCCACCTCACCTGCACTTGTTTACCTCGTGTTTTGGTTATCATATTTTTGCTTTAACTTTAACATGCGACGACTTCCGTTTAGTCTTAAGGCTGCTTGAACCTTGAAGCCATTTATTTATTTAGCCTGTACAGCTAAATAAAACTCATCTCATATGATCTTTTGAACAAAAAATGATTTGATTTTCTTATAGAAAGCTTTTCTCTTTTCTTTTTTTTTCTTAAAGAACCACCAATTTATTTCAATGTTTGGGTTTTATAGTAAAGAGAAATTTGTTCCAGATTTACTTGGAAGAAAATTATTATTATTATTTATTTTTTCAAAATAAATAATAACCCTTCTTTAAACTTCTCCACAACTGTGTTCCTCTGTCTTCATGATGCTGTTTATTCACTGTTGTTCCCTAATAACAAACCTCTTTTGCCTTCGCAGGATGACTGGATTTAGGCTATACAAAACAAAAAAAACACATAGAAAACCTGACGTTAGACTTTTTGTTCAGCTCATAAAATTCTGATTTAACGTATTTTGAAATGTACAATACAGCTCAACAAAAACTGAAGAAAATTGCTTGAGATAAAAGGTTTTTAAGTTGCATTAGTGAAGTCGGAGCTCAAGCGTTTTTGCACAACACAGCTGCAGATGCACCGATGCGAACATTTGGGTCGATATTTATAGACATTTATCGATCTGTGCCAAACTTTCTTAGCCTGCTTCTGTGCTTCAGTTCAAATCCAATCGACGACGCTGCTGACGTGTCGGGCCTCTCTCATCACGGCGCGCTGTTGTTGTCGTGTTTTCTCTTTGTCAGTGTACGACGTCACACGGCGCGACTCTTTCACGAAGCTCGAAAACTGGTTGAACGAACTGGAAACGTACTCGACACGCAACGACATCGTCAAAATGCTGGTCGGCAACAAAATCGACAAGGTGAGTCGCTTCCTGGTAGTTCTCGCACGCACAGCGGGGGACTGACCCCAATGCTAGAAACAGACGTTTTAAGTTTTAATCTGACTGTTTTCATGAATGTCGGACGACTTGCATGATTGTTCTTTGGTCAAAACAAAATAAAATAAGCAGTGAAATATCTGTTTAATGCATTTTGTGCCGCTCTGCTGCTGTTGGTCTGGAGTAGTTCTTTTACGATCCTTAAACATCTGATGTGGTTTCAGGATGACCGTGAAGTGGACAGAAATGAAGGACTGAAATTTGCCAGGAAACACTCGATGCTTTTTATTGGTAAGCACTGGCCTGAGTGCGGAATCAGATGTTGTCGGTCATGTTCGTTTACAGCGAGAGAGCCGTAAAGTTCCAGCCGGCGCCAATAAAACTCTTCAAATTGTATTTAAAAGTTACAGCTGTCATTAAATGTCACAGAGGAAGTCGTGCGCACAGCGCGGATTAGCTGGCCTGCTTTTCACGGTGCTTTGCTCACGACAAGAAATGGAGCGCCGCAGACAACCAGGGAAAAAATAAATAAGTAAAATGGCGCTATTATTAAAATTGAGCTGCTCGAAGTGACCAAATCCATGTCAGCGTCTGGTCCTGACTTCCACCTTTTCATCAACTTATCTGGAATTTGTTCTAGAAAAACTGAATGAAGAATTTTAAAGGCAAAATCACAAGATATGATGGATCTGATCTCTTTATTCTAATTGCTATTTTCTATTTAGAGATGCACTATTTCAAGGTTTTCCTGGACATTATACGTTTTCTTTGAGTTATGACTTGCTGATCCAGATTTTTCTTTTTGAAGAAGAAGAAGAAATTGAAAAGTGAAATATCTAAACAATTAAGTCTTCATGTTAGTTAGAAGCCGCAGAACCGTCACAAAACATTTGCAAATTCAGAAAAATCCTTCCTGTTGTTGGCTGGAAATAGAAATGGACCGATTTCTCCTGGCTAATACCGATTTCTTAGTTCTGATGTGAAGAATTTGACAGGAACTAGGGATTCACGACATATTGGCGTCAACATCAGTATCGGGTGTTTTTGACAGATCAGTGTCGGTCCGATAAGCAGAACTGTCAGTCATTTGTTTCAAATTTATGAATATTCTCATTGAACATGGAGAAAATAGTGGAGGGTGGTTCAGTTTTTCTTAACACCATTAATTGGAATTTATCGTAGCAAAAATAAATCAAGATTCTTGAGATGATAAGAAATTTATTCCGATAAAATAAATCCTCGCCGATGAGAAGCGTCACAATTTTTAGACCCGAAGTGACGTTTGTGTCGTTGTTACTCTGTGTTTGGCTTCTGCTGCACTTTTACCTCCCGGATCACATTTAATCCCGTCTTTGTCCAGAGGCCAGTGCTAAGACCAAAGATGGCGTCCAGTGCGCCTTCGAGGAGCTAGTGGAGAAGATCCTCCAGACTCCGGGGCTCTGGGAGAGCGACGGCCAGGATCAGAAGGTCCAGCTGGGGCGGCAGGAGCAGGGCGGGGGACGGGCGTGCGGCGGATACTGCTCCATACCCTGAAACCCACAGAAACGGCGACCTGACGGAGAAACACTAAGGACCAGAGAAACGGAACTACAGAGGCGGAAGAAGAAAAGGAAGTCAACTGTTGAGAGCTCTGCCATCTGAGGGAACCCTGCAGTTTTGCACAATTACTGTTCAAACGTCATCACTCATTCGACTCTTATCATGTTTCGTTAGCGAGCGCGTCAGTCGGCTTTCGGCCAGCGGTGTCTTCAGATAAAACGAGACGTGCCCAGGGCGTCGCAGCAGCGCGCGTCTGGGGCGGCTCTCCATCATTAGCAGCAGCTGTTCAGTTCGGCATTACTTTACCAGAATTGTGCCTGTAACATAATCAGATTTTAGGTGGCGCTTCAGGTTTCATCCTGAATATCTAATCCTAAACAGTTTAAAAAATGAAATCTCCCAGGTTATGTCCGACTCCCTTCAGATTCCCGACTTTATCACACCTCAGCACTGAATTCTCTGAACCGTGGAGCCCAGTTACTGCCTTTTTTTTTTTTTTGCCCGTCTTTAAACTCTTGTGTCCACATCGTTACTTCTTGCTGCAAAGTATTCCCCACTTATTGTTTGAATGCTGTTTTCTCGGCATTATCAGCCTCTGTAGTCCAACTTAATCTCTGGTGAGTTTTAGTTTTGCGGTGATTTCTTTGCAGTTATCATTTGTCAACCATAGACTCAGAACATTCCCAAGAACTCTTCCGTCTCCTTCATGTATTTGAATTCCAGCTTTAATTATTAATACTTTACTAGTCCTAGTTGCTGTTACCTGGGAGAAGAAATGAATTTAATCTTTTTTTTGTTTGTTTCTTGGTTGTGTTTTTCAGTCTTGTTGTCACACGTCGATCTGAGACCTGCCTTAACACCAAGAGCTGCAGTCGAGTAGCATTTGATTTGTTTTGAACGTAAATAAATAGAAACCTGCAGATTTGATCTCTCGGCTCCAATGATTGTTTGCTGTTTGGTAGCTGGCGCGGTGCGCTGTTGATGACTGGATGTAAGAATGAAAATATTTGTTGGAAAAAAATAAATAATAATAATTCATCCCAACGCCCTCCTCCAAAAAAGAGAGAAAAAGTCTGCAGAGCAAAAGCAGCACATGCTGAAAATCCAAGATAAATGATAAAAAAAAAAAAACTAATTCAGAAATACTTGCAGCAGTGGAAAAGTAACATGGTTTTATGTTTCCAGTGCAGTCTGGCAGTATTTTCCAAGTTGGGATAGGAATAGATAAAACTGAGTTTGGAAAAATGTGATTCCAGACTCTTTTCTTTATCCCACTGTCTGAAAGTGACATCTATTCATTAATCCAGAACTTCATTACTTTATCTGAAAATTATTAGACAAGAGAGACTTTAAACCATGCATCTGTTTGTTGATCTTTCCGTCTGTCTGTCAGTTTTTCCATAACACAATAACGTTCCAGTCTGTCAATTTGTCTGTCCATCCGTCCACAAACCAATCAGTCCCACTTTCGGAACATCACTTTATCTGTCCGTCGTTCATTAATCTATCAGTCCATCCATAAATCATCTGGTTTTTGCAAGTTACAAATTTGAGTCAAAGTCCAATGAAATGTGTACACAGTTGATATTAAACAGTAGTGCACATTTAAAACACTGAAATGAAAAAGGAAAACATGGGAAAATATCAAAAAGGAAGCATAAAATGAGAAATTTCAGTGAGAAATATCTAAATTACAGAAGTCTCAATTCTTGTCTCTCATTACGAGCAAGGATTTGGCAAAACTGCAATGAAAACACTTTTTTTTTTTTCCTGTCACACGAGTCACGTGATCAGCAGCCGGATGTCTGCCAACGTTTTTTTCATCCCAGTTGATTCTGTCTGACCTCTGTGCCTCCAGGAGCCGTGTTCGGACTCCTCTCGGTTTGCCATCTCTCTTTTTTTTTTTTCTCCACAGTGCATTTTCTAAATGAAAGACCATAAAGCACATGAAACCCACCACTAAGAACAGCTCCGTGGAACATAATTAGGTTGTCTCAGCCCCTGCAAAGTAACGATTTAAAGCAGAAAAAAAAAAAAAAAAAGGCAGGCCAGACGCTTTCACATTGGCTTTATTCAAACGGCTGCTGTAAAACTTCATCATGGGAGGATTCTCCGGTGTCTCGACAGTTCTTATAAGTTATGGAAAACGAAGGTCATGTAGGGCGTAGCAAAGCAAGCAGACATTATTTGGATTCACTCTTCGGGGTACTAATTAGATGTTACAGTATATAACATAATTAGAAAGGTGTTAAAGGTGTAAAACGTTAGGCCTGTACACTGTGTACACCACCAGGCACTTTGGCTGGCGGCGAGTGGAACACGGCGTTCAGTGCCTACCCGGTGTTCGCCAGGGGGGCTTTGACAGTCTGGACCTCGGAGATATGAGACGACTTCTGGATGATGCGGCTGGTGAGGGCCGTCCCCGCGCTCTGCTTCAGGGCCGACACGGCTCCCGCCACACACAGCCTGGCGGCGCCGGGCGCCGGGTCGGCGCTCGGAGCCGCCTTGCAGCTCTTGCCCTGGGCCAGGCTGGTGAGGGCCACGGCGGCGTGGATCTCCCTCCAGCCCTGGCCGTCCTTTCTCGGTGGGTTTCGGCTCTGCAGCTGGGCCCTGCGAACAACAAGCCAGTGAGATCCAGATGAGTTAGAGCTGCCAGGTGAGGCTGTGCTTTATTCACGCCACTCGCCATAAAAAAATATATATATAAACTTTATTGCAGCAGCAACATTGAGGAAAATGATATTTTTAATCTGAGCACTTTTATTCAGCGGTAGCCAGAGCTTTTTTTTTTTTCTTCTTCACTTTTTTATGTTGCTGTTTCAATTTTGTGTGTTTCTAGGAACTTCCACACTGAAAAAAATGCAAAATCTTACCAAGTATTTTTGGTCTAGTTTCTAGCGCAACTATCTAAAGTACATTTAAAGACAAAAACCAACTTACAAGGAACTTTTCAAAAAGATTTGGAGAGCATGTTTCAACATTAAAGTAAAAAAAAAAAAAAAAAAAGCTGTTCCACTGGCAGATTTCACTCATAAAGATAGAAATATATTTCATCAGTCAATAATTCATACAGCACTTCACACAACCACAGTATGGGAGACTAAAAATGGTTTACAGGTTCATAAAGAACATGAAAAACACAGCAATAAGAAAACATAGCAAATAAACGCAGAACAAGCAAAATAAAACCACACAGTTAAAGCTGCAGTATGTAGCTTTTATAAATAGTATGTTGCTACATATTTGTTAAATCTGTCACCATGTCATGACCGTATATGAGGCAGATAGTCTGTAAAGAGATTCAGCTCTTCCACCAACTCTGAGCTGCTATTGCCGTCTGGAGAAATGCAACGACCAAAGTCAACCAATCAGGGCCTCGATCCATCGCGTGTATGTGCTGCTAAATGCGCGGCTAAATGCGCTAATGACAGAGAAACAGCTTAACGCTAACCGGCGGTTGCATTCACAACAGGATGTGCTGACGGAGAAAAGCTGTAGCAACGCAGAGAGCAAGTGGAGGAGAGGGAAGAGCGATGAGCAGCGTCAGACGGAAAGTGATTGACACCGTTAAGACCCGCCCCCCTGGCTCTGATTGGGTGTCTCTGGTTTGCACTGAGAGCAGGAAGAGGAGTTAAAAACATTTTCACAGATTATCTGTCTCATACAATTCTGTCACAATATAATGACTTTTTCCACAAAAGTATAAATACATATAAAAAATATAAATATATTTACATATATATATATTTTTTTTTTTTTCAAAAATCACATTCAAGGCTAAGCAACTCTTATAAATGATGATGGTCATTGACAGCTGTACAAACAAATAAAAGCTTGAAATCTATTTAAAAATCTATATTATAAGTAAAATAATCTGCCAGTAGTTCTTCTTCGTCAATATTAAGGTATTATCGACTTGAAAACAAGATTGTGTCTCTTCCTGGAAAGTTGTTTGTGATTTGGCTTTGTCTCATTTGTACTGAGGTCCCTGCACTCAGAACTAGACCAGAAATCCTTGGTGAGATGTTATGTTTTTGTAATCCGTAATCCACAACTTTCCGTTCTCCTGGACTATAAATATGATGTTCTTCTTCTTCTTCTTCTTGTTTTTTTTTTTTAACCAACTGACCACCAGATTGAACGAAGAGCCATACTTATCTTGCCATCACATGTGGCGAGCAACATGATGGAGGAGGTAATAAAACATTTCCAAAGCCTACCGCCACAAAACTACGGCGAAATAAATGTTTTTTTTAAAATGACGACACAGCAAGTCTCGATAACAACCACTAGTCTTTCTACGCGCCGCTCATGATGGAGTCACATTTTGTAGCCTTTTAGCTCATCGTTATTTCGGTTGCATGTTCGGCCTGTTATCCTGTCTGGTTTTGGATGCTGTGCAGCCGAGGGGATTATTCCTCTTACTTTTTGTACTTTTGGACAGTTTGTTATGATGTAGCAGTGGTAAAAAAAAAAAAAGAAAAGAAAATATATATATTTTTTTTTACATCCAGGAGCAGCTGGTCAGCTTCTCGAAAGCTCTAATAAAACCTGAACTACAAACCAAAATCCCAGAGGAGTTGGAACAAAAAGGCTTCGTGGATGAAAAGCAGGTCCAAAGAGAATAGAGAAAAAAGATGATATTCACTATTATTATTAATATTATTATTATTACAGCCCGCCTTTCTAACCACATGGCCAGTCAGACTTAAACTGGAGCGGCAAAAGCAAACCAGCTGGATTAGCAGTGCTTGCCAACAACTGATGGTGTCGTCCATGCGAACTACAGATGAAGATGTTAGCATCTTATGAAAGTTGAGACAACATGCGACGGTCTTCAATCAGAGGCACCTTCAGATGTGCTGCAAAACTGACTGTTGCAGGAGAGCCGTCTTTCCCGCAGCAGCTCTCGGTGAGGTTTGACCGTATCCAATTTCCTTTGCGATAAGTAAAGCATGCTTGAACGGAATTTGAGTAAAATTTGCTTCCAACACAAACACAGTCATGCGGACTTTGCTCAGCTGTACCGGGACTTCAACAATCCGGTTCAGTCAGATGAGTCCGAGCTCGAGCTTCATGGTAACAAACTCCAGGTGGGTTTGATGTGAAACAGAGGATGAACATGGGGAACATTATTTCATGCCCACTGTTGAGCAGAGTGGAAAATATGTGATTCTGTTGGCCTCTTTTCTCCTCCACGTACGCCGGGAACCTGGAAGTCCGAAATACAATCACGCTGAAAACAAATGCCAGGACCGGCAGTCTCCAGCGGGTTCATTCTCAATGACTACCCATGATGGTAGTCATTGACACTTTGCAAAAATCACTTGCAAAAGTGTTTTTTTGAAAGCAACCTGTTTTTGATAAGGGAATTACATTACAACATGATATTAATGATAATGCTGTCCCTTTAACATTGAACCAGTCGACCTACTCAAAGTTAAGCTTTAACTTTGCTAAAATGAACAGTGAGGTTATGCTTCTGCAATAAAAGAGGACATTTATTTTGAAAGGTCTTCAACAGCGGAGGCAGAGTTTTTGTTTTTTTGGGAAAAAGTAAAAGTCACATTAACAGGGTTATGAGATATGAATTACGGTACTAACCTGCAACTTTTAACCGAAGTGCTGTCAGTTGTATCTGCAAAAAAACATAAAAACATGGAAAACTTAGCAAATGTGCCACGAAGCTACTTACCAGATCATTAGGCTGTCGAATGCTTATAGCAAACACAAACATGAAACTGGTTCAGTTTTCTGCTTGCGTTCGAGCAATTACTCCAATGTTTGGTGCAAATTCTTTCGGTATGTGTTCATGCTTTGGTTGAACGTTGGAATGTGATTCTCCTCCCTCCTCTCAAATATTCAGTCATGTGTCTCTAAAGTTGGTGGGTTGCAGGTCTTTATCTCAGCTCAAGCACAAGCGCTAACGGGTAGGAAACATTTCAGAAATCAATGCTGGATGCCTTGGCTGTGTCTCCTGAATAACTAAGGATCAGTTGTTCTCCAAAGGGGCTTCGAAGACGTTTTTTATGAGCACAGACGAGAGGAAAAGGAGAGAGAGAGAGAGAGAGAGACCATAACCAATGTTACGTTGCTTCTAACCTGCAATTTCTGTTTGCGGTCTGTGCATACATGTGCGATATTTGTAGAATATATTTTCCATCTTTGCTTTGGATTACAGCCTCATTTTAGGTTTGAGCACGTAGATAGTGGCCAAAACCGATTTCTCTTCAGAGTCCAATAGAAAAAGAAATTAGATGCTGAAACTAAGCCTTTCGGCGCTAACAGTCTGAAACATACCGCAAACCTGAGCCAAAAGTAACTTCTTGCTGATAGTAAATCACTTTTGTGTGTTATGCTTTTTTGCTTTGCTACTGAACATCCCTCACCATGTCCCTCCTAAGCCATAAAGTGCCCCTGCCAAGAAAGTAGCTCTGTACCTCTGCTATATTTATGGCCAGGGGGAAAAAACTTAGTTTTACCTCTGGTGAGTTTCACTATGCGAAAGGGGATTAGTGACAACGTAATTTTATAAGTTAGCAATGAATCCGATCGGTGCTTTGTTTCCAGTGGGTGATACGTCTTAATCAATAGGAAAATGGAAGCGCAATAGATCGTAGCTTCATGCTCATAAAGCTGCACAAGGAGCAAAGACCTGTTTCATCATTTCATTATTTGAAACATAAACGCTGTGCGCACCTGTTCCGCTTCCACGGCCACAAACGGCTATTTACCTTTTCTAATACATAAATTCTCACACAAATTAAGAATTAAAGAAGATGTATCTGTCTGATGTTTGACTGTGTTTTATATATATATATATATATATATATATATATATATATATATATATATATATATATATACACACACACACCATAAAGAAGTAGGCTTTCAAAATACAAATAAAATGGATGATCTGATAAATATTATGGCAGATTCTGTAATATTTATCCATGTCTGTCTCTTTAAATATAACTTCCAATGGACAGATACGGACATGTAGATGTAAATGTAGATCAAGATATAGACTAAAGTAGATTCCTAGAGAGACAGAAAGTGAGAAAATAGGATAAACAGTTAGCTTCATGACTCTGAAAATGCACTTTAAAAGGAATCTCTGAATGTTGTAGAAGAACAACATTCAGAGTCCCGACTCTCTAAAACCGTTAAATAAACCTGTAACGAGATCCAACTTAAATACGTTGTTGATTGTCGCGGGTAACCATATTAAGTTTATGCAAAGTTAATTTACTAAGTTCACTAAGTAAACTTAGTAAATTTAAATAAACATGAAAAAGGAAGCTCAACAAACTCCATTCGGTTGAATGTGACCAGCACATTTTTTTTTTAGTCTGAGCTCCATTCTCCTTTTTTAGTGCAAAGTGGATTTTTCAGTTTTTTACTGAGAGCATACATCTTTTCAGCAACATAATCCCCACTTTGAAACAATGAAAAACAGAAGGAGGAAAAAAGGGGTGAAGAAAAACACAGCAAGGCCCCTGTCCTGAATTATTTCCAACAAACACAGCTCCAGTCACACTGACAGGATCCCTACAGGTAAAACTGAGCTGGTGTCAGTGTCCACTGTAAAAAAAAATCCTTAATAATAAATGATAAAATTCCCAGGAAGCCATTCCTAATACCTTTACCTCCTTTGAGACTGACAACTTGTACCACACACTCCACCTAAATCAGGCTCACTGCAGGTTCAGTGGCTGCTTCACGCACTCTGAAAACACATTAGCGGTGCTGGTGATTGTCATGTTCTCCGTTTTATCTTCACAGAGGAGCCATAATGACCAGGAGCTGTAGCTTTAATGAGCGGACTAGTGTTTAGGGGATTCTAGCAAGAATGTAAGCACAAAATAATCCAGAATTTTAATAAAAAGACATACTCCCTTTAGTATGGGATTCTTAGCTTTTTTATAAAATTTGCTAAAATGCTCACGTTAGCTAATATGCTACAAGTAGCTTAAAATGGTCTCACAAGTGTGGCTACAATTTACATGACCAAAGCATTCACTTCAGTAAGTTAATAAAAAGGCTAATGCTACTTTCAATATAGCATTAGCATTTATTGTAAGTAGCATTCCAATAAATAATTGTTAGCTTTAATTTTTTGTAGAATTTAAGATAACATTAGCTTGTAGCTTGAGTGCTACAAGCTTATTTAGCAATTAAGTAAAATTAGCACTCGTAGCACTTAAGCTAACCCAATGCTACTGGTTGCAATAGCATTTATTGCAACAATAGCATGTAGCTATGCTATTGGTTAGCATTTAACCAACCAATAGCTTAATTGTTGCTAAGAGTTCCAAATGCTACCAGTGGCGTTAAAGGTAATCGTAGCATTTTGCTTAAGTGAAGGAGTTAACTGACAGCTTGAAAAGATAAAGTCATAAAAAGAAGATCATGGCAAACATGCTATTAAAACTGATTTCTAAGGACATCTAAAATATGTAAAGCATCTTTTATAAGTTATTATATGTACAAAATTCACATCAGCTTCTTATTACATTTAAATTTGAACAGCGTTAATTGAAAACAATCAATTATTATTAGATGTTTTATTTTATTTTATTTTTTTTGCTTCAATGATTATTATCAGAATCTCTTGTGCACCCACTAATGACTACTAGAGGAAGGTAGCAGCCTATGAATGGGTGGTTATCGTTTATCATACGGCTTCACAAGCGCAGCCACAATTTACGCGAACAAAGCATTCTCTTCATTAAGTTTAGAAAAAATATTCCAGACAAAATTCGGTGAATTTTACCTGTGCAGGCAGAAGAAATAGTGTCTCTTGTATCTGAATCGCTAATAAAAATCTCAAGTGCCCAGTTTTTTTTTTTTTTTTTTTAGCTTAAAAGAAACTCTCCTTTGACTACAGTATTCCTATACAAGTTTAACTAAGCTTAGCACAAAGAGCAATGAAATTAGCCTTTGGTCAATTTATTTCTTTGATGTATCAAAGCTTCTTGGCAATTAATATTATACTGTTGGCGAGCCTGTTTATTTGCCCCTTAAACGGGGCCACGTTTGTAAGGAAAATGCATTTGTGTGTTAATAAGCAGAGTTGAGTGTATTGGCAGCACCCATGAGAGGCTTGCCAAGGCCTTTCTGCCAATGCCAATCAGCTCTTTGTGGAGGTATTGTGAGGGTGTGAGGCGGCAACGCCCTAATGGGGAAAAAAAATAACGCATGTCATCGGTGAAGGCCGTCTCAGCTCAAATATGGAGATGAGATATTGCAACCAATGCCAAACTGTCCGACATGTCATCGCCCACCGATTTGGGGTTCATCAGAGGCCACCTCCAGGGTTTGGAGGTGGCCAGAATGAAATGGTCTGCACACACACACAAACACACACACTCTGTGCTGTTCTGGCCTCCGTTTGCTACGAACAAACAATTTTTCAAACTCCAGTCATCTTCCAGTCCAGGACAGCCCGAAATCCAACACCAAACCAGAGTCAATAGAGAAGGAGGGATTCATGGAGAGGATTTGGCAGGTCGCTTCGCCCACATAACTCTGCTGTTAAACCAGCAAATCCATTTTCCTTTCAAAACGTAGCACCATTTAACTGGATATAAAAAAAGACTTTCCAAACGAATACTTTTTTTGTGTGTGAGGAAGGATTGTAAAAATAACTAGGCAAACACAAATGTTCTTGCTTTTTGTGCAAATAGTTACCCACTATAATATTGAAGCAAGGCCTGAGTCTAAATATGTTACACTGACCAAAAAAAATCTTATTATAATCTTTTTTTAAGCTACACAACTTCCCAGATTTAAATTCAGTGCAAACGGTTCGACAATATAGGAAGGAATTAGACTGTAAACACAACAAATACAGCAGATGCTAGCGTGCTAGCTTCATCGCTTCCCCTAATTTTTTGTCTTCAGGATGGACTCCCCAAAATCAACCGCAAATGTTGGGGAAAACTTGAAAAAAAATCTTCTGGGCGAACTGCAAAAAAACAAACCTAAATAAAATTTAGCATAGGTTTATAGATCTACAGCTGACACGGTGCAACCTGAAGTCCAGCAGACATCGAAACAACATGAATGTTTATTCAACAGTTCGTGCAAAGAAAATATAAACAACTAGGGGAGGAGTTGGAACGAAATTTCTGCCAGAAAACCCGGTAACTTTTCAGCTGTTCTTTGTTAACGTGACATGAATAGGTTATAATGATTTTCATTCAGTCAGACTGACACTAGCTAGATGCATTGCAGGTAGATTGTAGTAAGGAATAGATTAATGCCTGGTTTCAAAGTTAGTGAACTGGACTTATTATTTTGTGTCCATTGTTGGACACAACACGGTTCGATAGAACCGTTATAACTAGGCTTTCTGTCGGCTAATGTGTCTCTCAGGTTTTGATAATGGGCCGACAATCGGCGACATAAGATCGTGCAGCGCGCATTACACTAAGGAAATAAGGAAGAGAGGGTCAGTGGAGAGCACCAGAGTTGAGCCTTTTTTCATTCAGTGTCATCAACAGTAGGAGAAATACGGCAGGAAGAAACGATATAGCGATAATTAAAATGACGTCGATAGTTTTAATTTATCGTACGATTAATTGATTTATCGTTTATCGCGACAGGCCTATCCGTAAATCAAACCATGAGAAGGAAAACTGTAAAACCCAGTTTTTGTCGTCATTCTCGCCTTGTTTAATGGATGCTTTAGCATCGTTTGTGTGCTTAACCGTATTTTTCATCCAAAAGCTGGCTCTCTGCTTGTCATTCTAAAAAAACTAAAGCTTTACTCATTAGACCGCCTTTCCTGGAATGTTAATTATAATGAATTTCTCACAATCACAGCTTCGCTTTCAGAACAAAACATTTCTAAAAAGCAGTAGAGATTAAGCAAAGTTTAAAAGTGACATTAATGATTGTCTTAGTTTTAATTGATAATCTTATTTAAGTGTCTGTGGGATGATTTTCTGTTGTTGATTGCATTGTATTTTGTTGTATTGGATGCACCACTGAACCATTGAAATTTAGGGCATCTTAGAGATATATATAATAAATATATGAACGCTACAATAAACTATAGAGTTCCAGGTATTTTCCTGTCCTAACGGAGCAGCTCAAATGAATTCAAATTTCAGACAGACTCCAGAAGCAGACGTCCGAGAGGGTAGCTGCAATACAAAGTCACCTGAAAAGGCAGCACCCCAAAACCAAAGGTAAGCAGAGGACAATACACAGGAAATGATGTTAGCAGGGTTCTGTCTGACTATGAACAAAGCAAACCGGAAGAGCAATCACAGGATGAGTAACAGGTGCGCCGATTAACCGATAGCAGGACGAGAAAAGCACTAAGAGAAGGACGCAAACTCCTCACAAAGCAAAAACATAAACGAAACCACTGCATTTTTCACTCTCAGCTCACGGCGAACCTCTAAAACGAACATGACATACTCGTTTCGTGAGTCTATCTAACCGCAGAAAGCTTGTGTTCGGGTGTTAAACTTTTCTCCTGTTTAATTGCTAACCTTTGTCCGAGCTCCCTTTTTCACACACAAGTTATACTCAAACTATAAAAAACATTCCTTAAGTAACTTTGCGAGGCTGGAACTTCTTTGTTGCCAGGAATAATTAGGCAGCCCCGTCCTCAGTGTTGGACTGAAACCTACACAGAGGCGCAAGAGAGTGGAAGTGATTACAGAAACGCTACACACAACTCCTCCAATGCGACGCAAATAAAACTGCTTTCAAGCAGGAAAGTAACACATGGAAGATACAGACTGCCAAGGCACACAGCTACATCCTCACAGACTGCGAGAACAAGCCAAGTAAATATTAGCGTGTTGCCTCACATTTGCGTGGCTGCTGCAGCACTTACTCTACAATCTGTCTGTCTTCAGCGTTTTTTGGGGGGGTTTTTTTGCCGACAGACTGTTCCCTTTCTACACTCAGGCTGATGTTTCCACTTCTCACCCTGGGAGAAATAAAGTCTCAGACATGCTGTAATTGTCCTTGAGGCCGGACTGGACATTTCCACCAAGGCTAGAAGTCGAAGTGGAACAAATGGCACATTCTAAGTATATGGAAATGATATTTGTGGTGTTCGGTGGCAGCCAGCGAGAGCCCCTTCCAATTCTTAAATGCAGGATTTCAGCATCTGCGTGAGTCTTTATTAGTGATCTTTGCAGAGGCTTTGGCTGACTTCTGCGAGTGGCTTTGAGACGTGCCAGTGCGCTGTGCTCCCCGTATGTCTGAGAAGGTAACCATGTGTCAAACTCCCCCCCCTCTGTTTCGGCGTTGCATTTATGATTGAATCTCGCCGAGCTTCTGACTTACAGACGGACGCCAGAGATTTATTAATGTCAGATCGCCCTCGGGAGCCAAGTTGGAGGTTTCTGTTTGCTGTGTTCTTATTTTACTGCACACTGTGGTGTTTTAAAATGGAACTGCGAGGAAACAGGGTCGTAAAACTGCCAGTGAGCTTTGCATTCATCGTTAATCTTTAATTAACGAGGAAGATGTCTTTATTATTTCTTCAGCCGGAGGACCCTTGTTGTTTCTCTTCATGAACCTTGATGTATATAACATCCTAACCTGTTTGCTGCTCCTACAAGGTCAATCATCTCTTATGACCTTGGACATTGTCTTCCTGCGCTATTCCACTCGATTCAAATCTTGCTGACAGCAGAATCAAATTTCTACCGGTTGTGAACGATGACCACATTTTTCTGCAAAGTTTTAGTATCGTTGTCTGTCTGTAGTTTTAACAATGGGAGCTGAAGAAGCGAACAAAGCTGTTGAGTCTGTGTTGGACACACTTCCAAATATTGAATTAGGATTGCCAGTAGCTCTTCGTTTGGTTTGCCACGTCTCTCTTCGCGTTGGAGGATGATTGCTTACAATTTCCGGTAAGCTTCATAGTGTCAAACTGATGCATCACGTAAGTCACAACTGGATAAAATTTAAACCTTCAACAGAGTTTACGTCTCCAGGAAGAAACAGTTTCTTAATAGCTCAGACCTTTCCGCAGGCTAATAATCTCTTACCCATGCTGTAGATGAAGTTGGCCTCTGCTTCTGAGGAAGAATCTGGCGAGACAACGTCTCGATCGCATTCCTTGGAGCTGAACGATTGGGAAAGAACGCGAGCAGAGGCAATGGCGTCAGCCTTTGCCGCCATCATGTGTCGCAGGGTGTCATTCAGGTAGCGGTTCAGCAAGCTACTCTTGTACTTGGACGGAGGAGACGTGCCGTCCTCTTCGTTGGAGCAGTCTGCCCCGGCGAGGACGCTGGCCTGTTTCTCAAGAAGGCTTCGGCGGTAAGACGAGCCGCCAAAGTTTGATTGGGCTATTGGCGTCTGTAGGGCGCACTCTTCATCTGGAGAGGAGAAAACAAAACCATCACTACAAATTCTGCTTAACAAGAGAGATTTAGTGGACATAGCAGCAGATTTAAACTTTCCGAGCCGCATTCCTCAAGCGCTGAATCTTCTAGATGTGTCCCTTGTCCTGCACACTTGAAGTAAGCAGTGAAACTGCCTCATGTCAAAGTTGCAGGACATCAGCCCTTGAGAGCCACTGGTCCAGACCTAATTCTTAGAAATCGCTTGACTAGTGAAACGAAAAGGCTGCACTATGTCGATCCATTAATCCTAAAGCCTCACCGTCCGAGTTTGTATCGTCACTGCACACACTCAGCCTCTCAGCATTGCCCTGGATGTATTTATTGTAGAGCTTGATCCTCAGCGCCCAGCTCAGGTCTGGCTGCCTCACCGTGTTCTTCAGCCTTCGCCGGGCGTTTGCAAACCAGTTGGAAACCTTGCACAGACATCGCTTGATCGATCAGTATGACTAGCCCTGACAAAAAAAATGACATAAGCATTCCTTTTGACGAGATGGTCTCACCTGCACTAGTGTCATGTGTGAACCCAGAGCGAGAAGAACCTTCTCGGTTTTTGTTGGGTAAGGGTTGTCCCGGTGCTTGTACAGCCAGTGTTTCAGCGGCCGAGCCATGTCCTGGAGTACCTGCCTTTTGTGACGAGCTTTCACCCCACCGAGACGAGATCTGGGGGAGCTACAAGACAAATACTTCATGCATATATCTTTCCTGTTTTAGGTAGGAGCTTCCATAAACCAGCTCATGTTATCTTTTAAGTCCAAAATTTAAAGAATTACAAAAAAAGAATCTTAAAGAAAAGATTCCTACCTGCATCTTCTGTACTTCATGGCAGAGATTTTCTCGGCCTGCTGCATGTCTGGGCTCTGTCCGTCTGTTAAACTCGTCTGAGGTGAGTCTTCACAGTTCGGCCCGGTCCTGTCTCCGACTCTTCTGTAGTCGTCCAAACAAAACTGAGCATCATCAGTCTTCATCGCTGCACATTTGTCCATTCTTAAACACGCAGGGTTTCTCCTCTGTCAACAGGTGCATCAACAGACTCCCACAGACGTCCACAAACGATAGATCCTCATTCTTTATAGACAAGGAAAAAATATATAAATTATGTCCACTGCTCCTTTTTGTTGTTGTTTTTTCTGGAGTCTCAGGAGCAAATAAAAACTGAACCTTACCAGGGAATAATTTTAGAAAAGTCAGATGATGTTGTCTGGTTTTACTGTTCTGTCTGAGGAGAGTTCAAATAACACTCAGCTCTGCAGACTATTGGTCTGCACGCCAGCCAATCGACTCGCTGCAACACTCTGCAAAGCCTTTTCTTGCAGAGTGCTGCCTCGCAGAGAGAGTCCTGCAGCAGTACCTCTGGATGTGAAAAATGAGTCCACTCCAAAGAATATCAGCAAACCCAGTCATTAGGTTTACTAGAAAGTGATTCTGTCAGTCTGCGCGAAGCTGCTTAAGCGTGGCCTCATACTTTCAGCATGAGCCGCACGATTCTTGCGGATCTTGCGGCATCACTAAGAATGGTGTCAGCAAATAATAATCCATGTTTTATCAGGGGATTCTGGAAATTTACGAGCGTAATAACATGGTTGCTAAAAACCACAAAACGACGGCTCATGTCAGGCAGGAAATCCCGCTGTTTTTCTGGAGGGGTGCTGGGGGAAGAGGGGGGGCTTGGGTATGGATTTCAGTAAAAACCAGCTGTTCAGAGAGGAACCGCGTTCAGCTTGTAGATACATTCAATTAGGATCACAAGTGCGCTTATAAACAATTCACGACAAAACATGCTCGACACATCTTCATCCAGACATGTGGAATGATTGCGTGCATTTTAACATTTAATCGTGTTTACGACATACGGCCTCTTGTAAAATTTATTTTGAGACTAACGTTTATTTATTTTTTTATTCTATTCCTGTTGCTAGAAACACATATCACAATATAAGCATTTGATATCAGCCGATATCGATAATTACGATTAGTTTTCAGTTTTAAATGTCCTAAATACTGCCAAACTGGTGGCGCTCCTGTTTGATCCAGCTTCCTCTCCATTATTAGTTTTAAGCAGTTATGAGGCAAGACAACCTGAAACTGCTGCTGCGCAAGTTAATTAGCGAGTTGTTGCTAGGTTATCAGAGTGAGTGAGTAAGTTGATGCTGTTGATTGCTATGAGAGGTTGAGCAGCGACAATTTTCCTCTGCCTACATCCCTCGGAATGCTGTTCGATTCTTGATCGGAGCTCAGTGAATATTCTATATATAATCAATATTCTATAATGATGTATTATCGATTTTCTTGCTATGGATATTGTTATTGATTGTGTCCAGCCCTATGCATTCCTATTTGTAAGTCAGCTCAAGCTTTTATTAAGCCTTATTGGATGCAAAGTGACTTTGGACACTAATGTAAAAGTCTTACAGGAGATACTCAGTTTGACTTAGTGCTGCGCTTTGACTGGGCCATTCATCTGCTCTGGTCTAAACAACTCTCTTGCTGTATATAAGTATACAAGACTTACTGGTTCTGCAACAAGTAAGTCTTTGTAACATTACATTTTATTTAGGAGAATCAAAGGAAAAACTTCACTGATTTGTATCTAAAAAAAAAAAATACTAAAAGCATGTGTAGTTTTTATCACACTTTGAAATAAGATTTGACCCGTAACATAAAATAAAGGAGAAAAGAAAATACTTTGTAGTTTTCTTTGTAATGCAGTAATGTGTCAGGAGAAGGGGGGGGGGGGGAGAGGAGGAAGAAGTCAAAAGGGGTGTGAATAGTACTGCGAGGCGCTGTAATTATTTTCCTAAGTGGGGCCGCCTTTAAATTATGGCTGAAATTCAAGCAGCGCTCGTTCGACACACTTAAAGACAAATGTCTTTTCCAAGTTCATAACTCAACACCGTGAATGGGCAGGTTGAGTTTTAGAGCTTTCGGAGCTGAAAACCACATGGAGCAGAAGCATCTCCGGTAGGTGCCGTAAATTCCTCGCTCGCATTCCTGCGCGGCGGCCGCAGAGCGGCCGGCCTGGCCCCGCTATCACTCCGCTTAACAGCCCGGCCCTCTGCGGGCCGCGCTGTTGATCTTACGGGAACACGCCGGCCGTCTGCGCCTTGGGGGGGAGGGGGCAGTTAAAAAACAACAAGAACCAAAAAATAAAATAAAAGGAGGACACATATTCTGCTTTCTTTCTTTGGGTAATTTGGCGCTCGTTCCGGTGTTCGGTGTTTGCCTCACAGGTTCACAAACTCCGGCGAAAAGAAGGGAAGGTTCGGTCAAACATGGCGCTTCTGCAGCGCTGCTGTCAGACGCTTTCTGTGACGTCACACGGATACTTCACTGGCTCGTTGTTTATGTGCGGAAAAGTGGCGCTTGTGACCGAAACGCAACTAACTTCCTCGTAACACTTACGTGTTACAGTTCTGAAAACTTTTTCCTGACCTAACATATTAGGGGTACATTTGAGGTTTAGAGGCTATTATATCTAACAGCTACAACCAATGGTAGCGGTCGCGAGCGGCTTCAAGGGGCCCACAGGTGAGTATTACAGGTAAAATGGGACGAGCTAATGCTATTCCTGGTTCATTGGTGCAACATTTCAGAAGCACTTGGTCTTATATCAATTCTGTCACATATACAGAGATGTATGGAAGGAAAAAGCTGTAATGTTTATTTTTCTTCATGGTATTAATGCTTTTCCATTAGCTTGTGCTGCTGATAATGGTTAGCCTGATTACTTAGCACAACTTATGAGTTAAACACGTGCTGGTTGTTTTAAGACACTCATAGACTCTAAGATGATGATAAGGTTGAACATTTGCTCTATTTACTTTAGCACGCTTTCAACAGACGACCAGGACTGAAATGATCCAAGGCCTGCTGACATCATGCATTTCTTTGGAACCTTTTGATGTGGGAGGTGCGGACATGGGTTTTGGTTGGACGGCTCCCGTGTCTTTAATGGCATTGTTATGATTTCACAGGGTGCCTGCAGATTCTCAGCCCGGCGATGAAGTTATACTGCCACGGTTTGGGTCTAGGCCTCGCTTCAGGCCTGGCACAGGCCTGCCTGCCCTGAACTCAAGCGACTCGTCTGCACACTTTGCCACCGTTGCTGAAATAACGGTCTTTTCATCCCAGCGGTGGTGCTGCCACCTTCACCGTCAGCTTTTATGGCAGCTCGTAATTTCTCTATGATGGTCATGTCCCTCGAGAGCCATCGGCGTTTCCCGGCATGACACTGCGCTCCCTTGTTCCCAACTTTCCCCGCTACATGAAGCAGATTAACACTTTGTCACACGTAATGGAGCGAAGCGCCGACAAAGAGAGTAAAACTGCCATGACTTTCAGAGGAATGGAAGTACAATTAAGTACCTCATGATGGTGAGAAAAATCCCTGAAGCCTTTGGAGTTGGAGAGTTCAAGCTGTTGTAACATCTAACACTAAGGTATACTCAAAAACATTGCAAAAGTATCTCTTGAGCTTTTTTTATAAGACCACAACCAAAAGGTTTCAATGTATATTATCGAGATTTTCATTTGGTAGACTCACATGAAGTTTTCATGAGTACAAGTGTGAAAAAGTACGACGTGAATTTATGTTTTTGCCCCTTTTAATCTGATGACCCTAAATGAAATCCTTCAGTCTAATGGTGGATAGGAAGATGTGAAGAGGTTTAAAGCTGAGTTCGGTAATAAGAGAATATCCCAAGGTCTTATAATTCAGTGGCGCACTCTTGAATACACTGAATGCAAATGAAGAATTTGACACAACAGATTTTTCTTCTTTTTTTTTTCTCTCCCGATTTACTGCGATGCTTTTTACAGTCGGTAAAATAAGTACTGTACACATCAACATTGTCTCCTGTTTCAATATTTTTATTGAGGCTTTATAAATTACATTCACACCGCATGTTGGGAACAACCCAAGTAGTATATAATCACAAAAACATTACTACGGCATATCAGGGCAATTGCAAGTAGGATAAAAAAAGAGGAATAAATTTTGAGATTCATCAAAAAAATTTTTTTGTTTTTTGGTGGAAATTTACGGCTCCGTTTTTCTTCTATCTCCAATGGCTCCAGTGTGCCGCTGTAATACACCCGTTTTTTGGAAAGGCCGTTTTTCTTCATGAGAACTTCAACTCGTCTCCACTATATAGAAAGTTAGAAATTTGCATTTCGTTTGTGCGATTTTGAGCCATGCTTCTGTCCGCAAATGCTTAAAGGTTCTTGCGATCACTTACATACACTCTCGTCTTCAGTTCATTGATTTTTTAAATCTAGATTTATAAATTTCGATCTTGCAGCTTTACTTTGTTTTTTTCTTCAGACATCCCTGGCTGTGTGTTTGGGACAAACATCTTCTTTGGAAACCGACCCTTGTTTCATCCGTAGATCTGATCAGGAATTCCCAGGGACTGTTCAGCATGTATCCCACTTTCAGGTCTGTTCTGTAAGACAACTACCTCTATTCCCACCTGCAAACTCCAGTTCTGGCATGATGCGACTGAGACGTTTCCAGTGACATTCTTCTCCTAAACACGATGTGTTCACTCACCCTGACCCTTTTCCTTCAGCAGTGGAGTCTTGTGTGCAGTGTATTACTCATTGGCTCCTTGAGCCTTTTGATTATTCTTCTGACTCCTCTGTAACCGGGTCTTGGCTGGTTTATGGTAAAGTAATGTTCTGTCCCACTTTGGATTACGGGTGGAACATTCTGTAGGTTAAAAGATTTGGCTGCAACCGTGGCCTTCGCAAAAAAGTTTGCAAAGGTAACCTTTTTCTTGTTAGAAGCTTTCTCAGCTTTTGCCAATTGTGCCAGTCTGTGGGATAATTTGGTAATGGACCTGAGTTAATATTAAAGCAGCCTATATGGACTGACACATAGCAAGAATGACTTCTAAATGCTGCCAGATTTCAGCTGGTTTCTTACACATACACGTGTTCATGACTTCTTTCCTGTACCATTCCACGTTTATACTTGTGTCTTTCTTTATGGACTAGTGCCAGGCGGTTCTAGAACAGAGTGGTCTGGATGAAAGCTGTGTTCAATGGAGTCTGCGCTGTTAATTGCTGGTTTTAGTTGTGAGTCAAGTGCTCTAGATCTTCTCCAGGGGACTAATCATTTTTTTTAAATCCAGAAAATGATGTGGTGCATAACAAATGCACTTCATACCATGAATTTCTCCAGCATTTCACTGTATGTCATTTGTATGCATTTGAAGTTGTTATGT